AAAACCCCATCTCTACTCAAAATCCAAATTAGCCAGGCATGGTGGTTCATGCCTGTAATCCCAGCTACTCAGGAGGCTGAGGCAGGAGAATCGCTTGAACCTGGGAGGCGGACGTTGTAGTGAGCCAAGATCATGCCACTGCACTCCAGCCTGGGCAACAAGGGCAAAACTCCATCTTATAGCATGATTTTTCAGTTTACTCATATGAGCCTAACCTGCTTTTATAGTGACAAAAATATGTATATAGAATTTTTAGACTGGATGCAGTGGCTCATGCGTGTAATCCCAGCACTGTGCAAGGTCTAGGTGGGCAGATCACCTGAGGTCAGGAGTTTGAGACCAGCCTGGCCAACATGGTGAAACCCTATCTCTACTAAAAATACAAAAAAATTAACTGGGTGTGGCAGTGCATGCCTGTAGTCTCAGCTACTCGGGAGGCTGAGGCAAGAGAATCCCTAGAACTAGGGAGGTGTAGATTGCAGTGAACTAAGATCACATCATTGTACTTTGGCTTGAAGTTTTTGAGCCAAACTTGAAACTTTGGCTCAAAAAAAAACCATTTTTTTTTAAACAGCAGAAAATACGTACCAAAGTGTGCCTTAGATCCAGTTCCTTTCTTACTGTGTATTTTAAGCATGATGCCAGGCTTGGCAATCATAGCTAGACTTTCATTGTTTCTGTTCTCTCCAGGAACTGATTCAGACAGTAAGTTTAGGAGGCAACTATCTTCTGAACGTTGGACCAACTAAAGATGGACTGATTGTTCCCATCTTCCAAGAAAGGCTTCTTGCTGTTGGAAAGTGGCTGAGCATCAATGGGGAGGCTATCTATGCCTCCAAACCATGGAGGGTGCAATGGGAAAAGAATGCAACATTTGTATGGTGAGTCTTGTCTTCTGTTGTGTGTAAGAACAGGACTGTGCCCCATCCGGAACTGGTATCTCCTTGGGTCCACAATGTTATAAGCCAGCCTGGAACTTGCCTCGAGAAAATCCAAAAGCTGTTATTTTCCTATAAAATTTGTATACCATTTGAGTTATGTCCTAGGCTACTAGGTTATCTTTGACTAGTGAGGGGAGAGAGTGGGTTTGGTAAAAAGGGAAGAAGCAACAAAGTATCAGTCAATTTATTGAGATTATTACCCTGCCCCCTAAAAATAGTAATAATGAATGTTTGGATTGCACCCAGGGCCCCATTCTACATTCTTTCCATTTATACTGGACTTCTGGATCTAGTTATTTGATCTTTGGCCCCAGTTTTTTCTGCTGCAGAATGGAGTGATGATACTTTATAGTGCTGTTGAAGGATTAAATGAGATGAGTGCCAGGCACAAACTAAGTGTTCAATTAAAGGGAACTGCTTATATTATACCAGGGAGCTTGGGTCTCTGGATCTAATCCCTCCACTAATCCCTCTATTTTGGATGAGTTTCTGTTTAGTGGTTGTCTTAGTCCATTTTCTGTTGCTATAACTAAATCCTACAGACTGGATTTTTTTTAAGACAGTTTCACTCTGCCTCCCACATTCAAGCAATTCTCCTGCCTCAGCCTCCTAAGCAACTGGGATTACAGGTACCCGCCACCATGCCTGGCTGATTTTTGTAATTTTAGTAGAGATGGGGTTTCACCTTGTTGGCCAGGCTGGTCTTGAACTCCTGGCCTCAAGTGATCCACCCACCTCTGCCTCTCGAACCTCTGGGATTACAAGCATGAGCCACTGCACCTGGCTCAGACTGGATAATTTTTAAAGAATAGAGGTTTATTTAGCTCACAGTTCTGGAGGCTGGGAAGTTCCAGAGTATAGCACCAGCATCTGGTGAGGGCCTTCCTGCTACATCATGACATGGTTGGGACAAGAGTGGTCATGTCCACTGAGGTCTCTCTTCCTCCTATAAAGCCTCAGTCCCATGTTGGGGCCCTACCCTGATTACCTTATCTGATCCTAATTACTTCCCAAAGGCCTCACCTCTAAATACTATACCATCAAAACATATGAATTTGGGGATTAAGTTTCCAACACAAGAGATTTGGGAGACATATTCAAACCATAATGATGCTGTTCATCCTCCTCAATCATAGTGAAATCTCAGAACAGGCATGGTGGCGCACATCTGTAATCCCAGTACTTTGGCAGGCCAAGCTGGGTGGATCACCTGAGGTCAGGAGTTCAAGACCAGTCTGGCCAACATGGTGAAACCCCATCTCTACAAAAATACAAAAATTGGTCAGGCATGATGGTGGGTACCTGTAATCCGAGTTACTTGGGAGGCTGAGGGAAGAATTGCTTGAACCCAGGAGGAGGAGGTTGCAGTGAGCCAAGGTCACACTATTGCACTCCAGCCTGGGTGACAGAACGAGACTCTGTGTCAAAAAAAAACGAAATAAGAGGAAAGAAAAAAAATAAATCTCTGAACAACAAATTTGTCTTCATCGCATATCTTATTTTTCTTGTTATATTCTCTGCTATTTTCACATCAATTTGTAATAGAAAAGGGATTTGAATAATAAGGTAAATGGCTTCATTGATGTGAAGTAACTGGGAGGCCGAGGTGGGTGAATCACCTGAGGTCAGGAGTTCAAGACCAGCCTGGCCAACATGGCAAAACTTTGTCTCTACTAAAAATAGAAAAATTAGCCAGGTGTGATGGTGGACACCAGTAATCCCAGTTACTCAGGAGGCTGAGGCAGGAGAATCGCTGGAACCAAGAAAGCAGAGGTTGGAGTGAGCCAAGATCGTGCCACTGCACTCCAGCCTGGGTGACAGAGCAAGACTCCATCTCAGAAAAAAAAAGAACTTAAGGAGCCATTCGAGGTGGCTCACACCTGTAACCCCAGCACTTTGGGAGGCCAACGCAAATGGATCACTTGAGGCCAGGAGTTTTAAACCAACCTGGTCAACATAGCAAAACGCCCCCTCTACTAAAAATACAAAGTTAGCTGGGCATGGTGGTGCACACCTGTAATCCAGTGACTTGGGAGGCTGAGACACAAGAACTGCTTGAACCCAGGAGGCGGAAGTTGCAGTGAACCAAGATCATACCACTGTACTCCAGCCTGGGCGACAGAGTGAGACTGACTCAAAAAAAAAAAAATTAAAATTAAAAACGGGGAATGCATAAAGTTATATATCAGGATAACAAGCCAGTTATCTTTGACAGTGTTGTATCTGTTTTCCCAGGTATACCTCAAAAGGATCAGCTGTTTATGCCATTTTTAAGCACTGGCCAGAAAATGGACTCTTAAACCTTTTATCCCCCATAACTACCTCAACTACAAAGGTAAGCAGCCCCTGTCAGTCCTAAGATGTAACTTTCTTTAAAGGAATTGGCAGATGCTTCCCTTCTTCCTTCCCCACCGGGTTTCTCCCATATTCATACCTCTTTTAGACTGGCTTTCCTGCCCTAGCCCAGCGTGGCTGTTTTCCACCATATTAGGCTTGTATTCTGTACGCATTAGTGCATTACCAATTTTTTTCATTCCCTTTTGTTTTCTGCAGATAATGATGCTAGGAATTCAGGGAGATCTAAAGTGGTCCACAGATCCGGATAAAGGTCTTCTCGTCTCTCTGCCCCAGTTGCTACCCTCTGCCGTCCCTGTAGAGTTTGCTTGGACTATAAAGCTGGCAGGAGTGAAGTAATCCTTTGTGTGCAAGAAGGAAGATGCACTGCCTGCTGTTTTGCTGCTTCAGTTTTCTTCTTATACTACCATCACTATAATCACGAACTTCTCTTCCCCACCCAGAGATGGGCTTTTCCAACACATTTCAATCAAAGGAACTGAGTACATTACCCTGATGTCTTAATGGACCAAAGATCTGAGATCCATTGCGATTATATCTGTATCAGGTCAGCAGAAGAAGGGAATGAGCAGTTAAACTTTGAGTTCATTAATTCTAATATTTGGAAATTATCTACAGTGGAATCTTCCCTCTGATCTCTGATAACCTACTTGCTTGCTCAATGCCTTTAAGCCAAGTCACCCTGTTGCCTACAGGAGGAGGTGGAAAGGATTTGGCAAGCTCAACCACATGCTATTTAGTTAGCATCAGTTGTCACCAACATTCTTTCTGCAAAGGGCAGGAGAGCTTTGGGGGAAAAGAAAAGGTTTACCAGGCTGCTAATGGTCAACTCTTCAGAAATTTCCAAGCAATCTAAGAGCACCAAATTTCGCTATGTTTACAGTGATACTATTAATAAAATAAATGTGATTCTGCTTTGTCTTTTTTAATGTGATCAAATAAAAAAAGTTGTGTGTCACCTCATTCTACCAAAAAAACATGGTGTAGCTTTCTTTTCCTGGTTTCAGCTTAGACTGCTTATAACTTTATGATCAGTTTCTGGGTTGTTTTTTTTTTAAGCTTGTAGAGTCTCCTTAACGATGAACAAAAAATGTAATTCCTGTGTTTTTTCTACTTCTCACTTCTAGTACCATTCTTTTGAGTTGAGTACCAGTTCAGCCTCTTTGTTATAGAGCTAATCAAGTTTTCTATTTCATTTTTACTTAATAGATATATTTAGAAATCTTGTTTTGTTTTGAGGCAGAGTCTTGCTCTGTTGCCAAGGCTGGAGTACAGTGGTTCACTGCAACCTCCACCTCCCAGGCTCAAGTGGTCAGAATTTTTTTGGGGGGGTAGAGATGGGTTTCACCATATTGCCCAGGCTGGTCTCGAGCTAATGGGCTCAAGTGAGCACCCACTTCAGCCTCCCAGAGTGCTGGGATTACAGGCGTTAGCCACCACACCCAACCAAGTAGATATATTTAGAAATCTTTACCCAACATTTAAGGAATATATGTTCTTCTCAAGCACATATGGAACATTTGCAAATCTCAAATACCAAAGAAGCAGCATCATATAAGCTATTTAGTGTGTCTACAACATCATTAACCATAACAAAAACTTGGAGAAGGAAAAAAAATCTATGTTTGGAAAATGTTAAATACACTAACTCATTGTGTTACTGATTCATAAATTCTGCCATGAGATAAAAAGAATTCCACATACCTACAGTTCTGGTGAGACAAATGAAGCCTGGCTGTGAAAGAAAAGTAGAAATTAGTGTAAGTAGATTAGCATAGCCAATTTTAGTTAGATCTCTTTCTGCCCAGAGTTAGAGAGCAAGTTGGTAATAATAATATTGCTTATATGGTTCTTCACAGTTTTTTTTTTTTGAGACTAGGTCTCGATTTGTTGCCCGTGCGATCTTGGCTCACTGCCACCTCCACCTCCTGGGTTCAAGCAATTCTCTGCCTCAGCCTCCAAAATAGCTGGGCTCACAGGTGCCTGCCACCACGCCCAACTAATTTTTGTATTTTTAATAGAGACAGGGTTTCACCATCTTGGCCAGGCCGGTCTTGAACTCCTGACCTAAGGTGATCCGCCTGCCTTGGCCTCAAAAAGAGCTGGGATTACAGGCATGAGCCACCACGCCCAGCCAATCTTCTTACAAATCGAGGTCCAGGTGTGTTGTTTCCTTTCCCTTTGCAGGTGGAATAGGTCTGTGGAGAGTGACAGGCACAGATGGTTTGCTGTGAAGACATGGATGGAACCCCTTACAAAATGGAAGTCGGGCCGGGCGCAATGGCTCACACCTATAATTCCAAATCCTTGGGAGGCTGAGGCGGGCAGATCACAAGGTCAGGAGATCGAGACTATCCTGAATAACAGTGAAACCCCGCGTTTATTACAAATACAAAAAATTAGCCAGGCATGGTGGCACACGCCTGTAGTCCCAGCTACTGGGGAGGTTGAGGCAGGAGAATTGCTTCAACCCAGGAGTCAGACGTTGCAGTGAGCCTAGATCACGCCAGTGCACTCCAGCCTGGGGGACAGAGCAAGACTCTGTCTCAAAAAAAGAAAATGACGGTCCAATGTGTGTCCCGGTTCTTAAACTTGAACTCCTGGCCTCAAGCCATTCTCCCACCTCCGCCTCCCAAAGTGCTGGGATTTCAGGTGTGAACAAATGAGCCTGACCCAAATTCTTAAACTTTCCAGACTGTATCAGATGTCGCTAATAAATCTGTATTCAGTAAATCAGTGTTGGAGGATCTTCCACAATGGAGATAATAAATTGAATGCCTGAAAACATTTGACCTCAACTCAATGTTTAAAGTCATCCAGTGTTGAAATTGCCAGGCAAGATCAGGATGGATTGCAATGAAGTGGTTGAACCTTTTATAAGAGCTCACAGTGTGTCTCAACTCTTCAGCTAGGGACCTAGGGACCTTGGGAGGCCACTCACTCTCATTTGCCACAAAATCCTAGTATGACAAATTATTATTATTTTTTAATTTATTTATTTAGAGATGGATTCTCGCTCTGTTGCCCAGGCTGGAGTGCAGTGGCCCAGTCTCAGCTTACTGCAACCTCCACCTCCAGGGTTCAAGCAATTCTCCTGCCTCAGCCTCCCAAGTAGCTGGGATTACAGGCACCCACTGCCACACCCAGCTAATTTTTGTAATTTTAATAGAAACGGGGTTTCACCATATTGGCCAGGCTGTTCTCAAACTCCTGATCTCAGGTGATCCGCCCACCTCAGCCTCCCAAAGTGCTGGGACTACAGGCATGAGCCACTGCCCCTGGCCTCACATTTTGAATTAGAAATTTCATTCCCTAATCTTCGACTGCCTTCTTCAATACAAGCATTTAAGCCTTTAATATATTTCCATTATCATTTAATTCTAAGTATATTCTGATTTCTTTTTCTTTCTTTTTTTTTTTTTGAGACGAGTTTCGCTCTTGTTACCCAGGCTAGAGTGCAATGGCACGATCTTGGCTCACTGCAATCTCTGCCTCCTGGGTTCAGGCAATTCTCCTGCCTCAGCCTCCTGAGTAGCTTGGATTACAGGCATGCACCACCATGCCCAGCTAATTTTTTGTATTTTTAGTAGAGACGGGGTTTCACCATGTTGACCAGGATGGTCTCGATCTCTTGACCTCGTGATCCACCTGCCTCGGCCTCCCAAAGTGTTGGGATTACAGGCTTGAGCCACTGCGGCCGGCCCCTCTTTTTTTTTTTTTCTAATGGAATCTTGCTCTGTCACCCAGGCTGGAGTGCAGTGGTGTGATCTCGGCTCACTGCAGCCTCTATCTCCTGGGTTCAAGCTATTTTCTTGCCTCAGCCACCCAAGTAGCTGGGATTACAGGTGGTTCCTGCCACCACACCTGGCTAATTTTTGTATGTTTAATAGAGATGGAGTTTCACCATGTGGCCAGGCTGATCTCAAACTCGTGTGAGCTCAAGTGATCCATCCACCTCAGCCTCCCAAAGTGCTAAGATTACAGGCATGAGCCACCACGCCTGGCCTATTGTTCCCATGTTTATGTCTATGTGTACTCAATGTTTAGCTCCCACCTATAAGTGAGAACATGTCATATTTGGTTTCCTGGTTTCACCCTGGCTCATGCCTCCAGCTCCATTCATGCTGCTCCAAATAACATGATTTCATTCTTTTTTATGGCTGTGCTTTTCCCATATTTTCTTCTAAGAGTCTTATAGTTTTCGTTCTTATGTTTAGGCCTTTAACCCACCTTTTACCCATTTTGAGTTAGCTTTTTTTTTTTTTTTGAGATGGAGTCTCTGTCTCCCAGGCTGTAGTGCAGTGGTGGCGATCTCAGCTCACTGCAACCTCCACCTCCTGGGTTCAAGCGACTCTCCTGCCTCAGCCTCCTGAGTAGCTGGAATTACAGGCGCATGCCAGCATGCCTGGCTAATTTTTTATATTTTTAATAGAGATGGGGTTTCACCATGTTGTTCAGGATGGTCTCGATCTCCTGACCTCATGATCCGCCCTCTTCGGCCTCCCAAAGTGCTGAGATTACAGGCGAGAGTCACTGTGCCTAGTCTTGAGTCAGCTTTTGTATATGGTGTCAAGGTAGGGTCCAACTTTATTCTTTCACGTGTGGATATCTAGTTTTCCCAGCATAATGTGTTTAAAAAGACCATCTTTTCTCCATGGAATGATTTTGACACCTTTGTCAAGAATCATTTGACCATATATACAAGGGTTTGTATCTGGGCTCTCTGTTCTACTTCATTGGTCTATGTCTGTATTTATTTCAGTACCACACTCTTTTGTTCACTATAGTAAGGTTTGAAATCAGGAAGTTTGAGTCCTCCAACTGTCCTTTTTCAAGATTATTTTGGCTATTCAAGGGCCATTGAGATTCCATGTTAATTTTAAGATGAGTTTTTCTATTTCTGCAAAAAATTCCTTGGGGTTTTAATAGGGATTTAATTCGATCTGTAGATCATTTTGGCTAATGATATTTTAACAATATTTTGGGAGGCCAAGATGGGGAGATCACCTGAGGTCAGGAGTTCAACACCAGCCTGGTCAACATGGTGAAACCCCATCTCTTCTGAAAATACAATATTAAGTCTTCTCGGCCTTGCGCTGGGACTCACATCTTTAATCTCAACACTTTGGTGCCCCTAGACAAGAAAGGTAAACTTAAGCCCAGGAGTTCAAGACCAGCCTGAGCAACATGGCAAGACTGTTCGGTAGAAAGCCCCGCCATCTTTCCCCCAGGTCTCTTGCCCCCGCCTTCCCCTCAGGCTTCCTGCTGCCTTGAGAAATGCCCGCCAAACCAGTTCTGTTCTGCCCAGCAACAACAAGCAGCCAACCATTCCAGCAGAAAAGCCCGCCAAGCCTCGGCCTATCCCGAACCGACACATAACCTTCTGAGCCACCTCAGCAGCCTGCCCAGAGACGGACAGCCTATCCTAAGCTCCTACGACACTCTGCCAGCCCTGTGTCCACGCCCCATCCACCCCCCTATAAAACCCTCCTACCCCAGCTGCACAGTCGCAGCCAGCCCCGATCCCCTTCCTTTCCTGGCCTGCCTGCTGGTCCCAATAAACCTGAACTCGGCTTCCAACTCTCGCTCGAGCTGTTACTTGGGATCGGGTACCGGGCAGGGGTCTACAAGGGGGTCGCACAAAGACCCTTATCACTACAAAAAAATTTGAAACTTAACTGGGTGTAATGGCCCACGTACCAATGGTCCCAACTACTCAGGAGGCTAAGGTGAAAGGATGGCTTGAGCCCAGGAGGTTGAGGCTACAGTGAGCTATGGTTGCTCTGCTACACTCCAGCCTGGTCAAGAGAATGAGTGAGATCCCATCTTAAAAAAAAAAGAAAAGAAAGCTTGGGTGTGGTGGCTCATGCTTGTAATCCCAGCACTTTGGGAGGCCAAGGAGGTCAGATGATTTGAGGTCAGGAGTTCGAGACCAGCCTGGCCAACATGGTGAAACCCTGTATCAACTAAAAGTACAAAAGTTAGCCAGGTGTGGTGGCCTACACCTATAATCCCAACTACTCTGGAGACTGAGGCAGGAGAATCACTTGAACCCGGAGGCAGAGGTTGCAGTGAGCTGAGATCACACCACTACACTGCACTCCAACCTGGGTGACAGAGTAAGACTCTGTCTCAAAAACAAAACAAAAAAACCAGGCCAGGCATGGTTGCTCACGCCAGGTAATCCCAGCATTTTGGGAGGCTGAGGTGGGTGGATCATGAGGTCAGGAGACAGAGACCAGCCTGACCAACATGGTGAAAACCCATCTCTACTAAAAATAAAAAAATTAGCCCAGTGTGGTGGCACGCCTGTAGTCCCAGCTACTCGGGAGGCCGAGGCAAGAGAATCACTTGCACTGGGAGGCGGAGATTGCAGTGAGCCAAGATGGTGCCACTGCCCTCCACCCTGGTGATAGAGCGGGACTCCATCTCAAAACAAAAAACAAAACAGAAAAGAGAAACAGTGCTCTAAGCATTTTATTTGCCTCAGGGCTACTGCAAATGCTACAATGTCCGGAAAGGTTTTCTTGTTTACTCTTCACCTGGATAGATCTTTTTTCCAGCCCTTCAGAAAGTACACCTAGATAGGTCTTAATCGTTTTTTCAGGTATGAAATCTAAGGATGCACCCCTCTCTGGAGTTGCCTGCTTGTGTTTGAATCCTGAAGATCGTGATGCATCAGTTAATTGGTGCAAAAAACTCAGAGCAATGAGTGGCGAATCGTAAAGCTGCTCCTTAAGTGCAAGTTAGAAATGATGACACAACTGTTTGTGTAATTATTAGTATCTTCTTGTCTCCTCATACCTTCCACACTCTAAACACAAGAAGCCACAGGCTTTGGCTAATTTCTGTTCATCTTTTTGTTTATTTGTTTGGTTTTGGTTTTTTTGTTTGTTTTTGACAGTCTCTCACTGTGTCGCTGAGGCAGGAGTGCAGTGGCAGATCTCTGCTCTCTGCAACCTCAGCATCCCAGCCTCAAACGATCCTCCTGCAGCAGCCTCCCAATTAGCTGGGAGATCATAGGCATACGCCACCATGCCTGGCTTTTTTTTCTTTTTTTTGAGACAGAGTCTTGCTCTGTCACCCAAGCTGGAATGCAGTGGTGTGATCTCAGCTCACTACAACCTCGCCTCCCGGGTTCAAGCAATTCTCCTGTCTCAGCCTCCGAAGTAGCTGGGATTACAGGAGCCCACCAGCACGCCCCGCTAATCTTTTTTGTATTTTTAATAGAGACGGGGGGTTTCGCCATGTTAGCCAGGCTGGTCTCGAACTCCTGACCTCAATTGATCTACCCGCCTTGGCCTCCCAAAGTGCTAGGATTACATGTTGTCCAGGCTGATTCTGTTCATCTTTATATTCCTAGCGTCTCACTTGGCTGGGAATGTAAGAGGCGCTAGAAAAAAAACGGAGAGAGGCTGGGGGTGGAACCAGCTTCGACGTCACTGCGGAGGGGCTAGGCCTCGCCCATCGGCTGGCCGTCGGTTACGTGGGGCCCAGATAGGCTGCCGCGGAGGATGCTGGGCCAAGATGGCAGCGATGAAGAAGGCGCTTCCGCCGCGGCTGGTGGGCTTGACGTTCTTCCGGGCTGTAAGTGCCCCGGGCTGCTGAGGCGGCGGCCCTGCAGGCACTTTGACTGTCAGGGTCGGGGGCTTGGCCCGTGGTGGCTGCTCTCTTAGAGGCGAGGCCGGACAGCTCTCAGGCCAGAGTCGGGAGGGCCTTGGAGTCTTGGACCCTCCCTGTTCCCCCCAAATCCTTTGAAGGAGATGGGAAAACTGAGGCCTGGAGAGGTGGTGGATCATGGAGACTTGGGACGCCATCCTAGGCGTCCTGATTCCCCGCCCAGAGCTCTTTCCGGTGACCCTGGCCCCTTTCTCCCGCTAATTGTGCTTCAGACCTCTCCAACTTTTCATAGTGAAAATCACGACCACCCTTCCCTTTCCTTCGCCGGCATTTCCAACTCTTGTCGCTTTTAGAGACGCTTGGGGAGCGATCGCAGTGTATCGAGCGGGACTTGAGTTGAACGGAGCCAAGCTGTGATTCCCTTGGAATTGCACTTTGATCCTGTTCGATCCTAATGTTTTCCCCTCTCCTGTTCTCAACAGAGGAAAAGTGTAGGACAGGTAGCTGAATAAAGGGTTGAACAGCGGGACGGGGTGGCTCACGGCTGTAATCCCCGCACTTTGGGAGGCAAGGCGGGCGGATCACGAGGTTAGGAGCTAAGAGACCAGCCTGGCCAATATGGTGAAACCCCCGTCTCCTAAAAGTACAAAAATTAGCTGGACACGGTGGTGCATGTCTGTAGTCCCAGCTACTCGGGAGGCTGAGGCAGAAGAATCGCTTGAACCCGGGAGATGGAGGTTGCAGTGGGCTGAGATCGTGCAGTTGCACTCCAGCCTGGACGACAGAGGGAGACTCTGTCTCAAAAAAAAAAAAAAAAAAAAAAGGAGGAGGGGTTGAATAAATTGTGTTGGTTAAAGCCCAAGGCTGCTCTGGGCATACCGCCCATGGATGGGGAAACCCTGCTCCACAAGGAACAGTCAAAATAAAAGGTGAAGCTAGGGTGTCCCAACAGTTTTGCCACGTTCTAGGCTTAATGACATAGTTATTTACTTTCTCTAAGCCTCAGCTTTTTCATCTGTAAAACAGACAGCATTCCCTTGGGGGTTGTTTTGGAGATTAGAGAAAATTAAAGTAATGCATTTGGCAGTATTCTGGTTCCTAATAAGTTATCAGTCCATGGTGGTATTTTTACCTTAGAGAGTTGAGAAGGAGTTATAGCTGTATAGAGGGAAAAATTATACACTCGTGGCACTGAGTCCGGCTCAGAAAGCCAGTTAATGTCTTTACTAGTCCATTCACCTGCTGCACCACCAGCTCATGTATAAAATGAAGATGGCAATTCCAACTTGGAAAGTTAAGAAAATTAAACAAATAGTAGATATTAATATATTTTTAAGAAATACTTGTTGTAATGAGATGGCCTTCCATGGGGTTCCAAGCATAGGAACTAGTATTAGTATTAGAACCAGATATGGGTTCAAGTCCAAGCTCTGTCATTTTCTAACTGTGATTTTTGAGTAATTGCTCTGAAGTCCAAGCTCTGTCACTTTTTAACTGTGATTTTTGGGTAATCGCTCTCAGGCCCAGCTTCTTCTCCTACAGAGGTGGGATAATAATAGTTCCTGCCTTGAGGTTGTGATGACTGTAGTTTAACACTAGGTTTAGTCAGTATTTGCTCTTGATGTTGACGTAGGTATACCATATCTCAGGACACTGTGGCATAGTACTCGTGTGGCTAGGGGGAATCCTCTTTGAGCAGAACTTTACAGAGAAGTTACGGGATTGTAACCAGAAGAGGAGAAGACTGTGGACCAAACGGTGGTAAGGAGGCAACAATGGCCTGGAGGTTAGGAGCTTGAGCTCTGCAGCCACACTGGCAGGTTTAGATACTGCCTCAGTGACTAGCTCTGCCTGTCACCTAGGGAAAGTTACTTAATCTCTTTTTGCCTTAGATTTATTGCAGTAAAATGGGGATGATGATAGTTCCTACCTGATAAGATTGTTGAGAGGACAGTATGGGTTAATATGTAATGGCTTTTGTATGTGCCTGGCAAATATTAAGTGTTTAAAAAATGTGAATTGTGGCCTGGTGCAATGGCCCACTGTGGAGGCCAAGGCAGGTGGATCACCTGAGGTCAGGAGTTCAAGACCAACCTGACCAACTGGTGAAACTCTGTCTCTACTAAAAATACAAAAATTAGGCCGGGCACGGTGGCTCAAAAGCCTGTAATCCCAGCACTTTGGGAGGCCGAGGCGGGTGGATCACGAGGTCAAGAGATCAAGACCATCCTGGTCAACATGGTGAAACCCCGTCTCTACTGAAAATACAAAAAATTAGCTGAGCATGGTGGCGCGTGCCTGTAATCCCAGCTACTCCGGAGGCTGAGGCAGGAGAATTGCCTGAACCCAGGAGGTGGAGATTGCAGTGAGCCGAGATCGCACCATTGCACTCCAGCCTGGGTAACAAGAGCGAAACTCCGTCTCAAAAAAAAAAAATACAAAAATTAGCCAGGTGTGGTGGCAGGCGCCTGTAATACCAGCTACTCGGGAGGCTGAGGCAAGAGAATTGCTTGAACCAGGGACACGGAGGTTACAATGAGTCGAGATCATATCGCACTCCAGCCTGGGCAACAGAGCGAGACTCTGTCTCAAAAAAATAAAGCGAATTGTTATGCAAAGAGCTGTTACAGGGAAGGAAGTGGAATGGAGCTTCTAATGTTCTAATACAAGCAACTTGGAAGCAGGTTTTAGATTCTTTTACTAACACTCAACCATTATTTATTGAGTGTGTATTATGCCCCAGGGCCTTAGAAATACAGCATTGAATAAAACAAAATCCCTTACTCATGAAACTTACATTCCAGTGAGATAGTTTTAGGGTGATGTACTAGCAGAGGCTGAACATCCCTGTTGGAGATTCATGTTGCAGGGACTTTGCAATATAGGCTGTTTACTTCATGAAATTTAGTGGCTTATCGCCTCAGTCTCTAAGAAGGCTTGTTGGCTAAAAACAAGGCCAGTTAGGTGAGTTGTTCATGTTCTAGCTGCTTCCTAGCAGGGAATTCCTGGGGCTTCAGGGGGTTGAGATCCTTAGCAAATTACACAGTGTGCCTCCCTCTTTGCCCCATGGGGGTGTATTTATCCAGATTAAATCTGTAAAACAAAGTTGATTTGAAGAGTTATGGTATCAAGACAGGTAAAGGAAAGAGGAAAAAGAAGCCTTGTGTTACTTGATAGGGAAGACTAAGATTTGGAGCAGACTTTATGTAGAGGAGACAAGGCATTTTGTAAAAAATGTCTTCAGCTACTGGGGGTGTCATTTCCCCTTAGACCCATTCTTGTCATCACCCAGCCTATGACTGTAACAGAATAGAGCCCTCCTGCATCTCGCCCATACCCTGAAAAGTGCAGGACTGACTACTCCTCCCCACATTCAGTAATTGCTCTCTTCTGGGACAGCTGTGTCCTTCATGGTTTATTTGTTATTTTAATAACTTTAATGAGTGCCTACTTTGTACCAAACACAGTGCCATGGCCCCATCCATGAATTATCTGTGCGTGCCCCTATTTCTTTTCTTTTCTTTTTCTTTTTTTGAGATGGAATCTTGCTCTATTGCCCAGGCTGTAGTGCAGTCGTATGATCTCAGCTCACTGCAACCTTTGCCTCCAGGTTCAAGCAATTCTCCTGCCTCAGCCTCCTGAGTAGCTGGTATTACAGGCACCTGCTACCATGCCCGTCTAATTTTTTGTATTTTTAGTAGAGATGGGGTTTTACCGTGTTAGCCAGGATGGTCTCGATCTCCTGACCTTGTGATCTGCCTACCTCAGCCTCCCAAAGTGTTGGGATTACAGGCATGAGCCACTGCGCCTGACAGAGTAGGCATTCTTTATCATGTTTTGAAGAAAATAATTACAGCTCTGATATAGAAAATAATGGGAATGGGAGGAGTGGCAGCTTTGCGAAGGATGGTCAGAGGAAGCCTCTCTTTGACTGAAAGATGAGAGACAGATGTGATAAGAGCCAGGTTTAAAAAAAAAAAAAAGCCAGATAAGTAGCCTTGGGGTAGCGGGAAGCCCTGCTGTGAGAGAGAAGGCAGGGAGCTTAGCCACCTGTTGGATGGAGGTTGGGAGTGGAACAGTAGGGACAAATGATGATTTCAGGAGGTCAGCAGGAGCCAACTCACACAGTCTTTTCTTTTTTTAATTAGAAAGGATCAAGTGACGTATAGAGTCACTTAATTTTTTTTTAAGACAGGGTCTGGCTCTGTTGCCCAAACTGGAGTGTAGTGGGACAATCATTGTAGAGCACAATCATAGCTCACTGCAGCCTGGACCTTCTGGGCTCAAGCAGCCCTCCCACCTCAGCCTCTTGAGTAGCTGGGACTATGGGTCCATGCCACCACACCTGGCTAATTTTTATATTTTTAGTAGAAATGAGATTTCTTTGTGTTGGCTAGGCTGGTCTCAAAGACCTGCCTTGGCCTTCCAAAGTGCTGGGATTACAGGCATGAGCTACCTCACCCGGCCTTTTTCTTTTCTTTTCTTTCTTTCTTTCCTTCTTTCCTTCTTTCCTTCTTTCCGTCTTTCCTTCTTTCCGTCTTTCCGTCTTTCCGTCTTTCTTTCCGTCTTTCCGTCTTTCTTTCCGTCTTTCCGTCTTTCCGTCTTTCCTTCCGTCTTTCCTTCCTTCCTTCCTTCCTTCCTTCCTTCCTTCCTTCCTTCCTTCCTTCCTTCTTTCCTTCCTTCTTTCCTTCCTTCTTTCCTTCCTTCTTTCCTTCCTTCTTTCCTTCTTTCCTTCTTTCTTTCTTTCTTTCTTTCTTTCTTTCTTTCTTTCTTTCTTTTCTTTCTTGATGAAGTCTTGCTCTGTCCCCCAAGATGAGATGAGATCGAGTACAGTGATGCGATCTCAGCTCACTGTAACTTCTGTGTCCCGGGTTCAAGCAATTCTCCTGCCTCAGCCTCCTGAGTAGCTGGAATTACAGATACCCACCACTATGACTGGCTAAGTTTTGTATTTTCAGTAGAGACAGGGTTTCACCATATTGGTCAGGATGGTCTTGAACTCCTGACCTCAAGTGATCTGCCACTGCAGCCTCCCAAAGTGATGGGATTACAGGCATGAGCCACCATGCCCGGCAATGCCTGGCCTTTTAAAACTACTTCTAATGTACATACAGCAGCATATAGAGTCCTATAGGCCATGGTGAATAGGTGAAAGGGATGAATCAAGTTCTGGCTCAAGCAATAGGATACATGTGATGCCTTTTAGGGAGATAGAAAGGATGGAGTCAAGCCAGGCTTTAGGAGAAATTAGAGTTCTGTTTTGGGATGGCTACATTGGAGAGATGTAAATAGAGCTGTCAGGTAGGCAGTAGAAAATGAGTCTGAATTTCAGGGGAGAACCTATAATGGGAGCGTGAATCTCTTGCTTGTTCCTGTTACTAAGTGAAATATTCTTTTTGTTCTTAATTCTAAAACAGACCAAATATGAATTAAATGGTGATAAATATTTCTTCTTGTCTCATTATTAGTGAAGATAGATCCATTCTTTCATATTGGTCTTCCTGGGAATTGTGGCAATCTCTTCCTCATACTTTTTGTTTCCTCTTTTAAACCAAAGGTCAGCACCTCATCTATGGGCACTTTACCAAAGCAGGTGAAAATTGTGGAAGTTGGTCCCCGAGATGGACTACAAAATGAAAAGGTAAAGATGGAAATGAGCCAAAAAAGGTTTTTCAAGCATCCACTTTGAGTATTCCATGTAGTAGGTGCCATGGCAGTGGACAGAGCTATGCAAGACGTGATTCCTCTGCACGAATTAGGGAAGAGAAGAGGAGGCCAGACAGGGACACGCACCTGTGACAGTTAAATGATCTAAAATGGTGGGGCAAGCTGGGTGGGTGACCTCATGCCTGTAATTCCTAATTACTTGGGAGGCTGAGGTGGGAGGATGGCTTGAGCCCAGGAGTTTGAGATGAGTCTGGGCAACACAGCAAGACTCCATTTTATTTAAAAACAACAACCACCACCAAAAAAAAAAAAAACAAACAAACATTAAATTGAATGGTGGTGCAACAGGTTTGGTGTCCCCAGGTCCACAGCCCAGTGGGGTGGGGTAGTAAGACCAAATGCCAGACCAGATTTAATCTTGGGGGTGTTCCTTATGAACCTGTTGGTAAGAGCAGAAGAGTTAGAAACAACCTAAATGTTTAGTATGAGGAAAGTTGGGTCAGATACATTATGGACTTTTTATAAAATGAAATATTATGAAGCCATTAATAATAATAGGTATATATTAAGTGGCTCAAGCAGGTTATAAAATAGTGTGTGTGGCCGGGCATGGTGGTGGCTCATACTTGTAATCCTAGCACTTTAGGAGGCTGAGGCAGGTGGATCACTTGAAGCTGGGAGTTTGAAACCAGCCTGGCCAATATGGTGAAACCCTGTCTCTACTGAAAAAAAAACAACAACAACAACAAAAATAGCTGGTCATGGTGACACACACCTCAGCTACTCCTGAGGCCGATGTACAAGAACCCAGGAGGGAGAGGTTATAGTGAGCCAAGATCACGCCACCGTACTGGTTTGTTTGGAAAGCACAATTCTGTCTCCAAACAAAAACAAATACCGCATGCATGCACATTTGTGTGTGTGTGTGTGTGTATATATATATATATATATTTTTTTTGACACAGAGTCTCCCTCTGTCACCCAAGCTGGAGTGCAATGGCGCAATCTCGGCTCACTGCAGCCTCCACCTCCCGGATTCAAGTGGTCCTTCTGCCTCAGCCTCCTGAGTAGCTGGGATTACAGGCACCCGCTATCATGCCCAACTAATGTTTGTATTTTTAGTAGAGATGGGGTTTCACCAGCTTGGCCAGGCTGGTCTTGAACTCCTGACCTCAGGTGATCCACCTGCCTTGGCCTCCCAAAGTGCTGGGATTACAGGCGTGAGCCACTGTGCCCAGCCGGCCATGTAGTTTTTAATCTTAGCACTTTTATGTAAGAAAAAGGTTTACATGCATATGGGAGCGTTTATGTACACTAGGATCTAGACCAACACTTCCCATGGAACTTTCTGTAAAGATGGAAATATTCTAGACCTGAGCTTTTCCATGTGGTGGCCACTAGACCCAAGTGGCCCTTGAGAATTTGACATGTGGCTAGTATGACTGAGGAATTGAATTTTAATTTTTAAACATTTTTATTAAATTTAAATAACCACATGTGATCAGTGACATGTTGGACTGCACAGATCTAGAAAGTTACACATGAGGGTTTTAATAGTGTTGTCACTGGAAGGTTCTCATGGTAGTTTTGTTTTGGGCATGTTTTCCTGAAAGAATCATATATTGGGCCGGGCACAGTGGCTCAAGCCTGTAATCCCAGCACTTTGGGAGGCCGAGGCAGGTGGATCACGAGGTCAAGAGATTGAGACCATCTTGGTCAATATGCTGAAACCCCATCTCTACTAAAAATACAAAAAATTAGCTGGGCATGGTGGTGCATGCCTGTAATCCCAGCTACTCAGGAGGCTGAGGCAGGAGAATTGCCTGAACCCAGGAGGCGGAGGTTGCAGTGAGCCGAGATCACACCATTGCACTCCAGCCTGGGTAACAAGAGCGAAACTCCGTCTCAAAAAAAAAAAATAAATCATATGTTGACTATTTTTTCAATAAGAAAAGCTTTTTCTTTCTTTATTTATTTCTTTTTTTTTTTAAGATGGGGTTTCACCATGATGGCCAGGCTGGTCTTGAACTCCTGACCTCAGCCTCCCAAAGTGCTAGGATTACAGGCTTGAGCCACAGCACCCAGCCTAGAAAAGCTTTTTCTTTTTCTTTTTTTTTTTGAAGTGAAAAGTCTCACATATTTATTACTGAACCCAGGCAACCAGCGCCTTCTTCTTTTTTTTTTTTTTTAACAGGAATAATGGAAGCACTGTGGGTTGTACTAACTATTGCCTTAATAACAGATCCAGAGAGGAAACTGTTCAAACTTCTCCAGTTAGCGGTGACTTTTTCAGCTTGATTTGGTAACACGATTGTGACTTTCAGACAGCATAAATATGTGTGCCATCGCATTGTAATTTCTTATAGACCCAGCTTGGTTCTTCTCCACTGTCTCCTTTTAGAGTTGTACCTGATTTTATTACCAGTTTTCATCTGAATCCACTGGGGAATGGAACAATTTTGCTTTTGTTTCTTGGCCAGGAATTGCTTAATCCTGAAAGTCTTGTGAGAAGACATGGCGAGAAACAGAATAAAGCACACACCACGATGGCAGAGAAAGGAAGAGAGGAGCTTCTTTTTCTTTTTTGTTTTTAGCATGTCCACCCTAGCTTTAATAGTGAGTGCTTGTTGGAAACAATAGTGTGTAAGTTGCAGGAGGGCAGAATCCCATCTATTCTGCTTACCACTATATCCCCAGCACCTAGCACAATGGCTGGAACATGGAGGGTTTTCAAACATTATTTGTCAGACCAGGCGTGGTGGTTCGGCCCTATAATCCTGGCATTTTAGGAGGCTGAGGCAGGCAGATCACCTGAGGTCAGGAGTTTGAGACCAGCCTGGCCAACATGGTGAAACTAAAATAAATGAGCTGGGGGTGGTGGCATTCGCGTGTAGTCCCAGCTACTCTGGAGGCTAAGGCAGGAGAATCACTTGAACCTGGGAGGCCAGAGGTTGCAGTGAGCTGAGATTGCACCACTGTACTCCAACCTAGACAACAAAGCGAGACTCCATCTCAAAAAAGAAAAAAATTTGTGCCATAGATTAAGTTAGAGTAGTGGGAGAGAAACTGGAGAAGGCAGGTGAGGGGAGGACCTAGCAAGAAGGACCTGGAGTTTTTTTATGTGTGTTCTTTTTGTTTGAGACAGGGTCTTGCTCTGTGTCACCCAGTGCAGTGGCACAATCATGGCTTACTGGATCCTTGACTTCCTGGGCTCTGGCAATCCTCCCATCTCAGCCTCCTGAATAGCTGGATCACAGGCATGTGCCACCATGCCTGGCTAATTTCTGTATTTTTTATAGAGACATAGTTTCATCATGTTATCCAGGCTGGTCTTAAACTGCTAAACTTAAGTAATCTACCCACCTCAGCCTCCCAAAGTGCTGGGATTACAGGTGTGAGCCATAGTGTCTGGCCAGACCTGGAGTTCTTAGAATTTTTTGTCTAATCCTGTAAGTACTGGGGAGCTACAGAAAGCTTTTGATGCAAGAGAATGAAAAATTGGAGGCTGCGTTTTAGGAGGATTCTTGTGTAGGATGAATTAGTGGCGTGAGACCATGGTACAGGATAATGATGATAGATTTGGAAAGAGGAATCCATAGAATCTGGTGAGCGACTGGATGTGGTGGGGAGGAAGAGAAAGAAGCTATATGCTGAACACATGAGGCTGAAGTCCTATCCAGTTGGGATACAGAAGAAAGAAGGGTGTGATACTTTGGGGACCCCATCCCATACCCCGCAGAGGGTTAGTCGTCTCTGCCCTTTTAGGCCATCACACATTGCTCTCAATTTGTTTATGAAGGGATTATAAATTAACACACATTTATTGAAGGCAAAGCCTGTTTGGCAGAAAAATGTTTCTATGTAAATAACTCCTTTTCCAGTGAGAAGCTGCATCTACTGCAAAAAATTATCTGCCATTTTGAACTAACAAGCACTGCATTCTGAGGCTGTTTTACTACTAACTTTGCTGACCTGGTGTTTCTCTCTCCACTATAGAATATCGTACCTACTCCAGTGAAAATCAAGCTGATAGATATGCTTTCTGAAGGAGGACTCTCTGTTATAGAAGCCACCAGCTTTGTGTCTCCTAAGTGGGTTCCCCAGGTGAGCCCTAGCCCTCAGTAAGAGGCCTTTCTCCAGGGATGAAAAGTTTTGCATTTGCCTTTGAAGCAAGTAGAAGTTGACAACATAGGCTTCCAAGCTTTGAGAGGTCTCAGTTGATTCATAGCACTGTGTTGCAGCAAAAGAACATGACCTGGGGGATTCAGGCCCTTGGGTCCCATCTTGGCTTTGCTCAGACTTTCTCAGTGACATTGTTAAGGCCTTTCCCTTCTCCATGTTAGAGATGACCTCTTCTAGCGCTAAAGTCTAAAACCTCTATGTAGTTTCTTTGTAAAAGAGGAGGACTGACAACTCCTGCTTCACAAAGATAGTTAAGTGGAGAAGAAACATCCTGTTACAAAATGGGTGTTTAAAACAGAGCTGAGCTCAGTGCCTGGCCCAGAGTACGTTCTCAATAAATGGCTGGTAGTAGTATTCCTGCAGTTTCTGCATAGGTAAAGCTGGAAGTATGGGCCATATGGAGAAATTGGGATCTCATCCAAACCAAGGGCCCTTTTGGCCCATCAGCAGTCAAACAAAAGTATTGGGGAGACTCAGCTCTGCAGAAGGAATTATTATCTAAGAGTTCTGGAGAACAGAGGTTTTGTGAGGAAAAGGTTTTCTCTAACGGAACTCTCTGCCTGCTCTTGGTGATGACTTGGCAATATCTCTTGGTTCCTAGATGGCCGACCACACTGAAGTCTTGAAGGGCATTCAGAAGTTTCCTGGCATAAACTACCCAGTCCTGGTCCCAAATTTGAAAGGCTTTGAGACAGCGGTAAGAGGATAGCTTGTTGGTGGGGCTCCTGAAATGAGGTTGATGGCATTGGTCCCTGCTTTGACTTGGGGCCTCAGTACCCTGTCCTAGGATGTCCATCTGAAAACTTGTCTGTCAGCCAGACCCTGGGGCAGACCTGGCCCTGCCACTCTACTCTGTTGACAAGCCTATAAACTAGGGCTAATGATAGTACCTGAAGTTGGGAGCATTTCAGAAGATAGGATGTATGTACATTGCTTAGCAAGAGCCTGATAAAAGGTAACTGCTTGATAAATATTAGCTCTTTTGATTAACCACGAGAAAGGTAACCAAGTTCTCCACAAGATAAATATTAGCTGTTTTGATTAACCACGAGAAAGGTAACCAAGTTCTCCATAAGAGTTTCAACAATAGTTGCTGGCATCTGCCAACTTCCTTACAATTTTAGACAAGAACATCTTTGGAGATATTGGTTCTGCATTTAGGCCAAAAGCTTTTTTTGGCTGGGCACAGTGGCTCACATCTATACTCCTAGCACTTTGGGAGGCTGAAGAAAGAGATTAGCTTGAGGCCAAAAGCTTGAGACCAGCCTGAGCAACATAAGGAGACCTGTCTCTACAAAAAAAAAAAAAAATTAATTAGCTGACTGTGATGGCCTGCACCCGTAGTCCTAGCTACTCAGGAGGCTGAGGCAAAAGATGGCTTGGGACCAGGAGTTTGAGGCTACAGTGAGACATAATAGCACCACTGAGCTCTCTGCCTGCTCCTGGTGATGAGTTGGCAATGTCTCTTGGTTCCTAGATGGCTGACCACATGAAGTCTTGAAGGGCACTCATCAAGCCTGGGTGACAGAACAAGAGAAAAAAAAAGCTTTTTCTCAAGAGTGACTTCCAGGGTTGTAATGGCAATGGTGGTGGTTTCCTTGGGGAAAGTCAAAGTTGTTGTTTTTTTTTAATTGAGAGAATTTACTGTGTTTGTTTCCTAGTGCTACTGTAAGAAAGCACTACAAACTGGGTGGTTTAAAACAATAGGAATGTATTCTCTCACAGTTATGGAGGCCAGAAGTCCCAAATCAAGGTGACAGCAGGCTTGGTTCCATCTGAGGCCTCTGGGAGAATCTATCCTGTGCTTCTCTGCTGGGGTCTGGTGGTGGCTGGCAGTCCTTGGCATTGCCTGGCTTGTAGTATCTCTCCAGTCTCTGCCTCCATCTTCCCAGGGCCATCTTCTCTGTGTCTTCACGTGGCCATCTTTTTTTAAGGTCACCAGTCCTGTGAGAGTAGGAGCCCACCCTATTCCAGTATGGCTTCATCTTCACTCATTTTATCTGCAATGACCCTGTTTCCGAATAATGTCACATTCTGAGGTGCTGGGTTTTAGTTCTTCAACATATCTTTTTAGGAGGGCACAATTTAACCCATAATATTCACATAACATAAAATTTACCTTAAGAGAAGTGTTTTGGCTGGGCGCAGTGGCTCATACCTATAATCCTAGCACTTTGGGAGGCTAAGGCAGGAGTTCCAGACCATCCTGGCCAACATGGTGAAACACCGTCTCTACTAAAAATACAAAAAAAAAAAAAAACAAACCTGTAATCCCAGCTATTCAGGAGGCTGAGGCAGGAGAATTGTTTGAACCTGGAAGGCAGAGGTTGCAGTGAGCCAGGATTGCACCACTGCACTCCAGCCTGGGCGACAGAATAAGACTCCAACTAAAAAAAAAAAAAAAAAAAAACCTTTTTGCCATTCTGTGTCAGTGTTCCTTAAAAGTGCTGAAAGGAATTCACCTGGATGTTGGCAGGTTGCTGCTGGAGCCAAGGAAGTGGCCATCTTCGGAGCTGCCTCAGAGCTCTTCACCAAGAAGAACATCAACTGTTCCATAGAGGAGAGTTTTCAGCGGTTTGATGCAACCTTGAAGGCAGCCCGGTCAGCCAATATTCCTGTGCGAGGGTGAGTCAGAGCACATTGGTATCTTTCCTCTGTACCGTTCTGGAATGGAAGTAGACTCAGACTCAAGTAGTCCTCCTGCCATAAACTTCTTATCCTGGGTGGAGGCAGCCCAAACTCCACACCTAGACATCTTTTTCCAAGTAAGAATGGTCAGAAGAAATCCTAGCCAAGTACTTTCTCTCAAACCTGTATTTTGGGTAACCAGCTGATTGTGATGGCATGTGCCTAGCAACTTGTGCGACCGAGGCAGAGAATGGCTTTAGACCAGGAGTTCGAGGCTGCAGTGAGCCATGATAGAAGCACTGCTGTCGTGCTAGAGGAATCTAGTAGGACAGGACGCTAACTGGGGTTTGTGGAGGTCAGTTGAGTCTTGGCTTTAACACTAGCTCTTCACACATCCCTGGAGAGTTCCTGAGGCTTCTAAGTTTCCAACATCACGTCTCTAATATTAGTAGTTCCAGGGATTGTGTGTTATCTATAATAACTGAAACCTCACAATAGCCCAGCAGGGAGTAGGTTATCCCCACTTCATAAATAACAAAACCGAGGCCCAGTGAATAGTCTACTGTAAGGTCACACTACTGTGCAAATTGAAGCCAGAGGCCAGGTGCAGTGACTCACATCTGTAATCCCAGCACTTTGGGAGGCCAAGGTGGGTGGGTCACCTGAGGTCAGGAGTTTGAGACCGGCCTGGCCAACATAGTGAAACCCCATCTCTATTAAAAATACAAAAATTAACTGGGCATGGGTGGGTACCTCTAATTCCAGCTACTCGGGAGGCTGAGGCAGGAGAATCACTTGAACCTGGAAGATGGAGGTTGCAGTGAGCTGAGATCATTCCACTGTACTCCAGCCTGGGCCACAGAGCAAGACTACGTCTCAAAAAAAAAAAAAAAAATTGTGGCTAGAATGATATTTCAAAAATGCACATCTGGGCTGGGCTTACTTCTATAATCCCAGCACTTTGGGAAGCCGAGGCGAGCAGATCACCTGAGGTCAGGAGTTCGAGACCAGCCTGGCCAACATGGTGAAACCCTGTCTCTACTAAAAGTACAAAAGTTAGCTGGGTGTGGTGGCACACGCCTGTAATCCCAGCTACTCAGGAGGCTGAGGCAGGAGAATCACTTGAACCCGGAAGGCAGAGGTTGCAGTGAACCAAAATCAGTGCCACTGCACTCCAGCCTGGGTGACAGAGCAAGACTCTGTCTCAAAAATACAAAACAAAACAAAACACAAAAGTGCACATCTGATCACATCCCTCCTGGTTAAAACCCTTCAGTGACTAACCAAGTGCAGACGTTTTAATGAGGTTTACAACACCCTGCATGATTTGGTCCCAGCTATTTTCTGTAGCCCAATTGTTCACATTCCCTTCTGGCCCCTGCTTCCTCTGCATGGTACACTCCAGCCCAACTAGAACTTCTTTCTGTTCGTCACATGCCTCCACTCTCTCTTGCCTCTGGGCCTTTGCATGTGCTTTCTATGGACTCAGAACACCCTTCCTTGGGAGGCCAAGGTGGGTGGGTCACTTGAGCCCAGCAGTTGTGACCACTAGCCTGGGCAACATGATGAAAATCTATCTCTACAAAAGAAAAAGAAAAAAGCCAGGTATGGTGAGATGTGTCTGTAGTCCGAACTACTTGGGAAGCTAAGATGGGAGGATCACCTGAGCCTGGGAGATCCAGGCTGAAGTGAGCCAAAATCATGCCACTGCACTCCAGCATGGGCGAAAGAGTGAGACTCTGTCTCAAAAAAAAAAAAACACTTCCTCCACATCATCATGCTCTGGGTGATAACTCCTGCTCATCCTTCAGGTCTTCCTGTGGGAGTCAGTTCCTCTGAGGAGCTGCCCCAGTCAGTCCTTCAGCTGGAGTTAGCGCCCTTCTCTGGGACCCCATAGTGTCTGGACGTCCTCTAATGTAGCACTTAGCTGCCTTTAAAGTTCCCTCCCTGCCCCACCTAACTAGACCGTGCACTCCATGAGGGCAAAGCCCTCATCTCTCCCAGTCCCTGGGGTGCTCTGCTCTCCCAGCTCATGGCCTAGCACACAGTGGGCACTCAGTCACTGGTGGGCAGGTGGATGAATGGGGAAGCAGGGGCTCCAGTGACATTGGCCCAACTCCCACATCTGTGTCTTCCTCAGCATCTCACTTACCTTTCTCTTGCTAAGCAGTGGTTGGAGAATAAGTGGGAGCATTAAAATGGAAAAGTACACTGGGATTTTTGAGTCTGAAATTATTTATCTGTTGAACATTTATTATGCCTCTTAATATGCAGAATACTTTGATTGACTCTAAAGGGTTTTAAAGACACCTCAGCTCCAACAGGGCAGGTGGGAATAGAAGTCGTCTAGATCCAAAACCCATACTCCTTACCATAGCCCACAAGACCCATGATCAGACCTGTGTCCACCTCGCTGACCTCATCTCGTACTTCTTTGCCCCTTGCTCTCTCTGTCTCAGCTATCCTTTGTTCTGCCTGGAACACGCCTGGCTCTTCTGTCTCAGGGCTTTCCCTGGGGCTCTTGACTCTGCCTGGAATGCTCTTCTCACAGACCCCCCTTCTCTTGGGTCCAACATCCTGTCCTCAGAGGGGTCTTTCCTGGACCCTCGCTACAGTTGGCCTTCTCCGCTTATTCCTGTCATTTCCCGTCTTTGCTCTGCGGCACCGAAAAATCACTGGCGCATAACAGGCAACTCAGTAAATATCAGGCAAATGAATGAATGAATCCTCTAGCAACTCCCTGGGGCAGCTCATCCCTTGGTCCTCAGGCCATCCCAGCCTGTTACTGACTCATATCCAACTCAGCTCTGGTTCTGAGTTTCGTTTCACCCAGTCCTTGGTCTCTTCCTGGAAGTACTGGCCCCTGCTCCCTTGACACATAGTTCTGCTCCATCTCCCCACCGTACAACCCAGCTGCTTGCTCTCCTTGCCCTCTCTAGCTTCTCCTCCTCTGCTTTATTGTCAATCCTTGGCTGCCTCTCCTGAGGCCTGTGCAACCTCTGCTTCCTCAACTGTAGGTCCCTTGTCCCCCAGTTTCCTGCCATGGCTCTCTACTGCCTCCTCCTGGCACTGAGTTGTACCACCCTGCCCTTTGCCCAGCTGCAGTTGTTGATTGCATACTGATCAGAAATGTTTGTTAAACAGCCCTGTCTCAGCCCTGCTGGCCAAAGAGCTCAGGACACTGACCTCATTCCTCCCCTGTTTTCCCACAGGTACATCTCCTGTGTGCTTGGCTGCCCTTATGAAGGGAAGATCTCCCCGGCTAAAGTAGCTGAGGTGTGTGCACGTGTCAGGGTGGAGGGGTATGGTGAGGGTTGGCCACCTTGTATGCCCCTGAGGTTTCTCTCCCCACCTTTTCCTGAAGGTTCCTGATTTCATTCATTCAACCAGCGCCTTCAGTAAGCGCCCCATCCCACATGAGCACAGCCCTGCCCTTGCTCCCTGGAGGCCCCCTCCTAGCCAGACATGTAGTCCTTGAAGTCCCTGGCCTCTACCCTAGCCTGAAAACCTCCTATTCAGTTTCCAGTCTGGTCATTGAGGTGATCCTCTGAGGAGGGGCTCCTTACCCAGGAGTTCCCACAGCTCCTTGCAGTGATTGAAAGGCCACAACCCTGATGTCCTCAACAGTCACCAGGTCAATGCTGAGAAGAACACAGTACAGGAATTGTGTTTGACCAGCCCAAGAACTTAAGTCATTTAGTCTCCAAAACCACTGTACAAATTGGGTATTATTATTCCCTTTTACAGTTGAGGAAACTGACACTATATAATTTGCCATACAGGTTACAAATGCTGAAATCAGGTCTCAAACCTCATTTTGTCTCCATCCAAAGCCCACTTCTTCCCAGGATACTTGGTGGCATCCAGATAGGGGGAATGGTAGCAGTAGCAACTGTGCCTTGAGAGCAGCTGCCCTGTTCCAGGTCTTAGCCTTAGTTACTACCAGTCCTCTCCATATGACCAAAGGGTCATCACCATTTTTCAGAAGCAGAAATTGAAGCTCAGAAAAGTTAAGTTCCTTGCCAAGGCCCACAGCTAGTGAGCGGCAGAACTAGGACTTTAACCCAGCATCTCATTATTTCAAAGACCCGCTCCTTCCCCTGCACCCTGCCGCCCCCTAAAGGCCAGCCACTACCGCCCCACTCTCTTCAAGACTATTGGGGGCAGTGACATCACTGTTTCACTTATCTAGCAGATCATTGGTGTCTTCTGGTCCCCTAACCCCGCCACATCCCACGGCACATTGTCCAGCAGCCTTGTGCCAGCAGCAGCTCCTTGGGTGAGGCACATACTGCTCCCATTTTCCAGTGGTTTTAGAGGTGTGCAAATGGGTGGGCTCCTAAAATTTAAATAGTGATGTGTCTCTATTAAAAAATATAACTATTGGCTGGGTGCGGTAGCTCACACCTGTAATCCCAGCACTTTGGGAGGCTGAATCACGTGAATCACCTGAGGTCAGTAGTTCAAGACCAGCCTGGCCAACATGGTGAAACCACATCTCTACTAAAAATACAAAAAATTAGCGGGGCATGGTGGCAGGTGCCTATAATCCCAGCTACTTGGGAGGCTGAGATAGGAGACTCTCTTGAACCCAGGAGGCAGAGGTTTCAGTGAGCTGAGATCACACTACTTCACTCCAGCCTGAGCAACAGAGCAAGACTCCATCTCAAAAAAAATTATATATAGTTTATATATTATAATTATTACCCAGGCATGGTAGCACACACCTGCGGTCTCAGCTACTTGGGAGGCTGAGGTGGGAGGATTGCTTGAGCCTGAGAGGCTGAGGTTGCAGTGAGCCGAGATCACACCACTGCACTCCAGCCTGAGTGAGAGAGTGAGACCCTGTCTCAAAAAAAGAAAATATATATAACTAGCATCTCAGACTCATAATTTATGGATTTTATTGCTGAGGATAAAACTACATGAAAGGAATGAACTTCACTGATTCCAGCACCTGGGTCTACCAGTCTCGTGTGACAGTGGTAAGTGAAGGATCGAAGTCTGAGGAACACAGGCAGGGAAGAAAGAACAGGGGTTAGAGCCTCCGGATTGTGAGCTGGCTCCAGCGGCTGGCTCTGCCCCTTAAGCCTCAGCCTCCTGATCATAGAATAAGGATCATCATTCCCAGTCGGAGTTGTGAGGAGCACGTGATCCTGTGGGAATTGAGTACTTCAGACATAGAATTGAGTACCCAGGCACAGGCCCCCTGCTTCTGAGTGCTTGGATCCCCTGGCTCATGGATTCTGTATCCTCCAAGTACCTGCTTGCTTCCCTAGGTCACCAAGAAGTTGTACTCAATGGGCTGCTATGAGATCTCCCTGGGGGACACCATTGGTGTGGGTACCCCAGGGATCATGAAAGACATGCTGTCTGCTGTTATGCAGGAAGTGCCTCCGGCTGCCCTGGCTGTCCACTGCCATGACACCTATGGCCAAGCCCTGGCCAATACCTTGATGGCCCTGCAGGTAATCAAAGGCATATGCTCATTCTCCCAAAGGTCGTGGTGGGCAGGACAGCTTGTTATCTTTTATTCTCTCAGCAAACATTTACTGATGCCAGTATGCCAGGTCCTGGGCTGGCAATGGTGGACACAATCGTCATGATCCCCAGATGTGAAGTGTACACCTCTGTGTTGGGGAGATAGTCAAGGGAGTTACATGGTAATCCTACTGCATTATGACAGATGCCATGAAGGGAAGAAGCACAGGGCTCAGGAAGCCTAGAGGGGCCCCATCCCAGCTGAGGAGATCAGGGAGGATATGCAGAAGAGGCCTGAGCGAAGCTTGAAGGACATAAAGTAAGCCGCTGGCAAGGAAAGACGAAAGGTGACTGGGCAGAACTGCACCTCAGGACTGATGGGGGTTCAGGGAGAACTCATACAACATACAGGGTTGTGAGTGTGCGCATGTGTGTAGCGGAAGCAGGTGAGGAGACAGGAGGTACAGAGGCCAGCAGAGGTCATCAGTCAGAGGGAGAGGCTTTAATGCCGTTCCCCACGGATTGACCTAAGACCTCAGAATTGGTTTCCCTTGAGGTTTGCTTGTTGTGGGCTGGCCCACAATGGGGATCCATTGGCTGGCAGCCAGATGGAAGGAGCATTGTTAGTGTCTGACCTTGCTGTAGCACTAACCTAACCTTCCATCTCTAGAATAGTGATGGCAGTCCCAGCCACCTTTTTTTCCTCTCAGTTATCCCCTAGAGGTTCATGTCTGAATCAGGTGAGTCTGTTACATTCTGGGCCTGTTTCCTCAGAGTTGTGGCCGTCAAGGTTAAGGTTGGTAGCTCTGTGGTCCCCTCATTTCTCAGCTTACTGTGACACCCTCCCCTGCTTCTGGGCTTTCCTTCAGCTCATGCGTTTACTGGCCAGGCAGGTAGGGAGAGTGACTTCCTCTCCCATGGCTTGCCAGGCAGGTAAAGGGGATTTCTGCACAGCTGAAGTGAGTCTGAGGCAAAACTTCTTCCTGACCAGGCTCAAGACACTCCTGCTCCTCTGCCTCATGGCACCTGATGTCTCAGAATCCCCCTTTTGAAAATTTATCAGGGAACAGGTTGAGCTATGTGAGGTCTGGCAGTGAGCTATGTGAGGTCTGGCAGTAGCTTCCTCTGACCTCCCTCTTCCATCAGTTATTTGAGAAATATGGATCGATGTGCCAGGTTAAGTGCTGACTTAGATGATAGAAACAAGACCCAGTCCCTGCCCTCTGGGAGCTCATGTCATGGTGGGTGGGGAAGACGGATGGAAGATTACAGGTATGTAAATTACAAATTGTAAGACCACTTATTCACCTGTTAAAACCTAACTCCTTCTGTGTGCCAGGCTCTGCTCTCAGTATTGAGGAGTCAGCTGTGACCAAAACCGAGTCCCTGATCTCATGAGGCTGAAAGTCTAGTAAGATGAGACAGATAGTAAATAAGCTTATAGCAGGGCAGGTGCTCATAAGCACTGTGGAGAAAAATGAAGCAGGTTGAGGGAGTGCCAGGTCTTCCTGCAGAGTGGTCTCACTCAGAAGGGAGCATCTGAGAGAGATCTGCAGACCCCTAGCAGGGAGGGGAAGAGGAACATGAGGAGGCATGTAGCAGGAGCAGTGTGACAGAGGAGAGGGGCAGAAATGTCAGGGTTAGAAGAAGGCCATATCCAGTGGGGCCTTGTAGGACTTTGACTCTTTTAGACTGAGCTGGGAAGCTAACAGAGTCTTTAGCAGGGGCAGGGAGGGAGATAATTTGAAATGTTCCCTTTAAGAGGCTCCTTGGCTGGGCACGGTGGCTCACACCTGTAATCCCAGCACTTTGGGTGGCCGAGGCAGATGGATCACTTGAGGTCTGGAGTTCGAGACGAGCCTGGGCAACATGGTGAAACCCCATCTCTACTAAAAAATTAGCCAGGCATAGTGGCAGGAGAGTAGCTGTAATCCCAGCTACTTGGGCGGCTGAGGCACAAGAATTGCTTGAACCTGAGAGGCAGAGGTTACAATGAGCCAAAATCATGCCACTACACTCCAGCCTGGGCAACAGAGCAAGACTCCTTTCAAAAAAAAAAAGAGGCTCCTCTGCTCCTCTGGCTGCTGTATAGAGAATACACTGTAGAAAGACAAAGACAGAAGAACCAGTTTGGAGCCTACAGCAATCCAGGTGAGAGATATGGCAAGGGAACCTGGAGGGCACAGGTGCATGACTGGATCTCAGGCGTCTGTATTCTGATCTGTGAAGCTTGAGACGTCTATAGGCAGGTATGTTAACCTGGGTGCAGTTACTTGGGAGTGAGTGGAGATGGAGAAGCTGTCTGAGGAGTGAGCAGTAAAGGGTCCAACCTTCAGAGATCAGGGAGGTGAAGAAGAGCCAGCAAAGACTGGATCAAGGCCTCAGGAGAGGCCAGAGCACCATAGGAGGAAAACCAGGGGGATGTGGAGCCCTGAAGCCACATGGAGGAAGTGTCCAAGATGATGTGGAGAGTCAAGTGCAAAGATGAAGACACTTGACCTTTGTACTTAGCTACAAGGAGGCCACCAGTAACCATGACTAGAGCTGTTTCAGTGGAGGAATTGTGGAGACTCAAACCTATTTTGAATGGGTTCAAGTGAGAATGGCAGATGTTAAGTGGGAACAGCTCTTTTGAGGAACTTTGCTTTGAACGGGAGCAAAGAAATGGGAGGTTGGAGGGTCCCAAAAAGGGTTTATAAAAGATGGGAGAGATTGTAGGCTGCTGTGTGAGGATGACCCAGTGGAGGCGAGGAACAGGTTGCAGGAGAGAGAGGAGAGGGTTACTGGAGCACATGCTGGAGCAGGTAGGAATGGGCCTCACGCTGAAGTGGAAGGGTTGGCCTTGGCTGGGAGCCTGGGGTCCATCCCAGGCAGCATGAGAGACCGTGGGTCTGTAGGCCCAGATGCAGGCAGGTGGGTAGATGAGACAATGGGAGTCAATGGAGACAGTCTCTTCTGATTCCATCTCTTTCCATAAAGAAGCAGATGAGAATTCGGATGGGGAAGGGGGTGATAGAGGTTTAAGAAGAGAGAAGATAGTGAAATAGTCATCTGGGAGAGTGGGAGAGTAGGAAGCGACTGACCTGGGAAGATGGGATGTGGCTCTAGTGTGGTGAGGCCCGGACGGAGTGACAGCAGCCTGGAGGTGGTGGGGGTGTAAGCGGCCGGGGGCTGGGGAGTAATTAATGAACCACAGTAAACAATAGGGGTCTCAGCATTGGGAGTGGGTTAGGCTGGTGATCAGAAAAGGTCTCCCTGAACAGGTGGCGTTTAGACTGGAACCTAAAGGGTGAGAGTCCACCAAGAAAGGAAAGATACTGCCGGCAGAGGAAACAGTGTAACAGAAACTAAAAGGAGAAGCACTGTCTTTCAGTGGGACTTTTGTGTCCACAGAATCATACACCAAAGAATGACTCTGGAATTTCAGGCAACAGACTATTGGGAGGTTTGCAAGGCCCAGCTTTGTGGGTTCTTGCTCCCAGTGACAACTGTGTTTCATCATCCTTATGTTTCCAGATGGGAGTGAGTGTCGTTGACTCGTCTGTGGCAGGACTTGGAGGCTGTCCCTATGCACAGGGGGCATCGGGAAACTTGGCCACTGAGGACCTGGTCTACATGCTAGAGGGCTTGGGCATTCACACGGTAAGCCCGCCCGCCCCCTGGTGGTGACAGCCCTGAACTGACCAGGGCTCAGCCTGAAGCTGAGAACAAAAGCAGATGCGGGTATTTGGGACTGCTAAGGTGCTGAGTAGTAAAGAGGAAAAGGGTTGGCCACGCACAGTGGCTCATGCCTGTAATCTCAGCACTTTGAGAGGCTGAGGCTGGAGGGTCACTTGAGCCCAGGAGTTTGAGGCTGCAGTGCGCTACGATCCTGCCTGTGTACTCCAGCCTGGGTGAAGGAGCAAGACCCTGTCTCTTGAAAAAAAAAAAAAAGGAGGGGGAGGGTACTGGGGATTATGGATATTTGATCTAATGTTTTAATGTTTGTGAGAGTAGGGCTGAGTGAGGCCACACCCATGGCCACAAGGAGGCTGGGGTGTCAGGGTGATTTTGATAGTTCAGTTCTAGGAGGCACCAGGGAACATGGAAGGGGCGCTGGAAAGGGCCAGGTTCACCTGAAACGAGTCAGTTCTCTCTTGCCCTTTGTTTTGTTCTGTGTAAAATAAGGACAGTGGCATTAGCTTGCCAGGGATCCGCCAGGGCCCATTAGGGCCCTCAGTGGTGAATGGAAGCAGAATAGCATCTGTGCTTGAGGATATGATTGAACTGGGTTTAAAGCCTACTCCTGCCACTCACAGGCTATGAGAAATCAGACACATTATTTCATCTCTCTCAACCTAAGAAATGGGAATAAAATAGCATCTGTCTCATGGAGCCATTGTGAGGATTAAGTAAGGAAAACGTATGTAGAGGGCCAGGCCCAGTGGCTCACACCTGTAATCCCAGCACTTTGGGAAGCCCAGGCAGGTGGATCACCTGAGGTCAAGAGTTCGAGACTAGTCTGGCCAACACGGTGAAACCCTGTCTCTACTAATAATACAAAAATTAGATGGGCATGGTGGTGCACCCCTGTAACCTCAGCTACTTGGGAGGCTGAGACAGGAGAATCACTTGAACCTGGAAGGCAGAGGTTGCAGTCAGCTGAGATCGTGCCACTGCACTCCAGCCTGGGCGACAAGAGCAAAACCTCTGTCTCCAAAAAAAAAAAAAAAAGATATGCGGAATGCTTAGCACAGAGCTGAGCATGGAGTGCACATCAGCAAATATGAGCTACTCTGTGAACAGAGGGTTTCTGCCTGGCCCTTTCAGTTGGAGTTTTTATTCTTCCCTCTCTGCCTTACCATCCTCACTTGAATATCAGTTTTTTACCTCTGTGGGCCAGGCCCTGTGCAAGGCCCTGAAGAGGGAGCACTGAACAAGACTGATGGGATCTGTGCCCTGGTAATGGCACTACAAACCATTATATAGACTGGACATCTTACTCGAGGGGGACTCAGAGGAATAACCCAGGTGCCAGATAGACAGGAGCTCACTGGCAGCTGGTGTCCCGCTGTCAAGGGTAAAAGCCTGTTTATTTTCACCTTTACTTTTTCAGTATCAACAGTTTTCTGTCCATGCTGATGTTTTCCCTGGTGTTGAGGGCTTACCATAACTTACCGCATCCTCTAACTTATTTCTCAAAGGGTGTGAATCTCCAGAAGGTTCTGGAAGCTGGGAACTTTATCTGTCAAGCCCTGAACAGAAAAACTGGCTCCAAAGTGGCTCAGGCTACCTGTAAACTCTGAGGCCCTTGACCACCTGAAGCCCTGGGGACGGTATGGAAATAGGGGCACAAGGCCGGGCACGGTAGCTCATGCCTGTAATCCCAGCACTTTGGGAGGCTGAGGTGGGTGGATCACGAGGTCAGGAGTTCAAGACCAGCCTGGCCAAGATGGTGAAACCCCCATCTCTACTAAAAATACAAAAATTAGCTGGGTGTGGTGGTGGACACCTGTAATCCCAGCTACTTGGGAGGGGGAAGCAGGAGAATTGCTTGAACCCAGGAGGTGGAGGTTGCAGTGAGCCAAGATTACACCACTGCACCCCAGCCTGGGAGACAGAGCAAGACTCCATCCCAAAAAAGGAAAAAAAGAAATAGGAGCACACACAGATGATTCATGGATGGGGACACGGAAATGAGAATGTTAATGGCGCAGGTACCTCACAGCCAGCTCTACACAGAGGTCTCTCCTGGCAGAAAGCAGGCAAGGGGCAGGAGGAGCTGCTTGGCCTCAGGTCCTTCACACAGACCTGGCCCACGAGTTGAATGCCTGAGGACATGTGGAAACCCCATTCCCTACTTGGCATGATCCTTGTCTCCTCTCTGGATGGAATCTGCAAGCGGGCCACCTCTACACAGCTCCACCCTGGCATGCCCTTGGGGCCATTGCACTCTGACTTCTCAGGACACAGGTCCTGGACGTTCTTCCCAAGCTGGCAGAGGCCATTTGCGGAAAGTGGAGAGCTTCTGCCAACTCCAGCATCTCTGGAAAATTATGCTGAATGTGATTTTTGAAAACAGCTAATGTAATTAAAGGTTGAATGGCACAGAATCATTCCAGCATTCGGTTGTGCAGCTGTGTGTATACATGAGTCTGGAGGAGGAAAATACTTTACCATGTTGCACTCTGGGAGGAAAATGGAGACTATGAACTAGTTTATTAATCTTTGTATTCCCTCCTTGTTTCCCCACCTCAGCCCCAAATCCATAGTGACTCGAATTCAGTGGCTTACTCAGGAGGCTGCCTGCAAGAGTTTCCTGGCCTGAGCACCCGGTGGGGTTGTTTCTGACCTTTGCCTCTGTGACCCGGGCTGTTGCACAAACTCCCCTGCTTTGGGCCTCGGCGGCCCAGTCACTCCCTGGCTCTCACAGGACCGGGAGCTCTCACCTGTGGGTGCTCCGGGCTCTGCGGGCAGGCGCTGATTCCCAGCCGCGGGGAACACTTGAGTGCTCGTGCATTTAGGGCCCTTTTGCTCTGGTTTCATCACGCAGTACGTCACATTTGGTGCATATTATTCTCTATCTCTACCACTTTTCACTGTAAACAATCACTTTCTAACCTGCCGTCGTGGTAGGCAAAGTGTAGGCAGACCATTCCCGGCAGGTGGGGGCCGCGGTAAGGCTGAGAGCCGAGGGAGCTGGAACCTCTAGTGTGGCCTGACAGCTTCCTCCAGCTCTTTGGTTTATTTGCAAACTGGACTTCCCGGCACCACGGACCCGAGACCCCGCTCCTGCCTTAGTCCCGTGGGATTGGGAAATTCAAGATTTTGAATTCAGACACCAGCAAGTTTGAAAACCTGCGGGTCAGAGGGGGCGCAGGCGCGGGCTCCCTACCCTCTGTCCCCTACCCCCTCGGAAGCGCGGCGCTGCTTCTAGGGGTTGGGACGAGCTGGCGCGGGGACCCGGGGCACCAGCAAGACCCGCCCGCTTCGGGGACCTGGCGCCAGCGTCGTCCCTTGCGGGGTAACACCGCCCACTTCCGCCCTCACCGGGCGCGAGCGGCGCAGTCGCCGTCACCGCGCGCAGGCCTTTTGTCCTCCCGTCGTCCCCGTAGTGGCCGTAACCCGAGTGACACGTTTCTTTGGGGGCGTGGAGGGGCGGGGTCGGGGTGGGCCGTCAGCACTTAAAGGGCCAGCCACTCGGGCGCGGGAGGCGGTGCCTCTGGAGCCAGCGCGGGGCGCGGGAACCCGAGCAGGTTCGGGAGGCGGAATGAAGGGCCGGGTGGGCTCGTCGAGGGCCGGGGAGTCCGTGGGTAGCCAGGGAATTTCCGAGGGACCGGGCCGCGTTGAGGACAGCGTCCCTCCGTCCCAGTTCCCCGCTTCCTGGGTTGGGGCCGCTGGGGTTCATTCATTCCCGGCTTGGGGACTCCTAGCTCGGTCCCGCTCCGCGCCACGGCCCAACGCCCAGCCTGAGACCCAGCCGTCCTCGAGTGCTCAGGGCCCAGCGCCCCTTCCCTTCCAGCAGACAGACTGGGAAAACCGAGGGGGCGAGGGCTGAGCAAGGTCACTTCGCAGGTCGGGGACGCAGCCGGCCTTGGACCAGCTTTCCTGCCTCCCAGGACCTCTCTGCGACCACCTTAGGGGTCCGCGCCAGGCGCGAGGCGAGGGTGGGGGCGGCTTCGGCGTGGCGGGCAGAGTCCAGTAGGGAGCGGTGGGGGAAGGGCAAGCCGTCTTGGGAGGGGGCCGGGCTGCGAGCCTGGAGATCCGGATTCCAGCCCGCTGTCGCCAGCTGTGGGACTGAAGGCAAACTACTATCTGTAAAGTGCCAGCGATAACACCTGCCTCACCGAGATGCTGGGGGAATTCAGGAAAATCACGCAGAAGTGCCTGGGACGGAGCCTGGCACGCAGAGCACTCTTGGTCCAGTGGGTTGGAGCTGCGTGAGCTCAGAAGGGAACAGAGGCAGCCTGGAGGAAGGCGGCAGCGGGCTCGGACGCTGGGAATGAAAGGCCTCAGTGTCTGTGGCTTCCTCCTGGTCCCGCCCTTTCTGCCCGCAGAGTTTGTTCAGGGTGGAGGTGTACACCTGGCCAAGTCCACGTCTACACGGCCTACCCAGGGCGGCCTAGAGTTGGGCGGGATCCTTAATTCCGAGCCAGAAGTGGCAGGGCTGGCCCTGGCATGGGCAGAGGCTGAGCCTGCCTGGCAAAGGACCTCACCCTTGAGGCTATGTGATCTATTTCCTGCTTCCTCCCAGCTGACCCTTGAGGAAAAGGGGGTGGGCGCCGCCTGGAGCAGGAGGTATTAGTCACTGAGGCCAGGAACCAGTTTATACCTAGCCATGGCAGAGGCATTGGGCAGGCCTGGGTCTGAGCTGACAGAACCCCTTCCTGGGACCCTGGAGTCCGAATCCTACTGCCATTTTCCTTCTGCCCAGGACTCTGCAGTCCTCAGTCACTTTGGAGAAGGAAGTGTGGATCCTCAGATTCCATCTTTCCAACCCCAAGACAAATGGAACTAGAAAACAAGGTGCCTGTGTGTCAGTCTCCCCAGCTCTGCTGCGACAGGCCCTTAAGGTCACCTCATTGAACCTCCACACTGCCTCATGATGTTTATACAATTATTATTAGCAAGCCGAAGGCCAGAAAGTAATGGTATCCAGACTTGCCCCAGGGCTGACTTCTGAGCCATCCTGGTAGCTAGGGCACACTGCTGCCAATAGAAACTGAGGCCAAGAGGCTAATTGATTTTCAAAGCCTAAGGCCAGAAAGTGATGGCATCCAAACTTGCCCCAGGGCTGACTTCTGAGCCATCCTGGTACCTAGGGCACACTGCCACCTTCTTTCAAAGTGAGCTTAGAGGGCCAGATTCCAGGGATAAGGAAGCTCTAAGCCTCACCCATCTCTGAGACTCTCTATCCTGGGCCAGGTGCCATGGCAGAGAAGGTGCTGGTAACAGGTGGGGCTGGCTACATCGGCAGCCACACGGTGCTGGAGCTGCTGGAGGCTGGCTACTCGCCTGTGGTCATTGACAACTTCCATAACGCCTTTCGTGGTGAGCAGCAGTGGGGCTGGGGCTTCTTGAGGGGATGGCAGAAGCAAAACCCTGGGTTCCATTTCTACCACCGAGTGGGGGATGTGTGTCTGGCTTGTCCTTGGGAACACAGCACGCCACTTCATGATGATGTGGCCTACATGTGCCCCACCAGGAGGGGGCTCCATGCCTGAGAGCCTGCGGCGGGTCCAGGAGCTGACAGGCCGTGCTGTGGAGTTTGAGGAGATGGACATTTTGGACCAAGCAGCCCTACAGCGTCTCTTCAAAAAGGTGGGTGCCAGCTGGGCCCAGTGGCTCACGCCTGTAATCCCAGCACTTTGGAAGGCTGAAGTGAGCAGATTACTTGAGCCCAGGTGTTCAAGACCAGCCTGCACAACACAGTGAAAGCCTATCTCTACAGAAAAATACAAAAATTAGCTGGGTGTGGTAGGCCATGCCTGTGGTCCCAGCTACTCAGGAGGCTGGTATGGGAAGATGGCTTCTGGGAGGTGGAGGTTATAGTGAGCTGAGATGGCACCACTGCACTCCAGCTTGGGCAACAGAGCGAGCTGTCAAGAAAAAAAATGTGGGTGCAGGCAGGCAGGCCAGGGGCATTGCCAAGGACTAAGGCCAGTAGAGCAAACTCTTACCATGTCACCCCTGCAGCACAGCTTTGTGGCGGTCATCCACTTTGCGGGGCTCAAGGCCGTGGGCGAGTCGGTGCAGAAGCCTCTGGATTATTACAGAGTTAACCTGACTGGGACCATCCAGCTTCTGGAGGTGAGAGGCATGTGGCAAGGCATGGACACTACAAGGGTATCCAGCTGGGCCCCAGCCTGGGAGGCAGTGCCAAACACAGAGCCCAAGCTGTATCATCCTGGACGCATATCTTTACCTCCCAGCCTGTTTCCCCATCTGTAAATGAGAGTGCCCATAACCTCAGCCCCATCCTCCCGTGAAAGAGTAATAGGATGGGAGTAATGTGTGAGGCAGAGGCCACTGATGCCACTTCTCCATGGCCAGATCATGAGGGCCCATGGGGTGAAGAACCTCGTGTTCAGCAGCTCAGCCACTGTGTATGGAAACCCCCAGTACCTGCCCCTGGATGAGGCCCACCCCACGGGTGGCTGTACCAACCCTTACGGCAAGTCCAAGTTCTTCATCGAGGAAATGATCCGGGACCTGTGCCAGGCAGACAAGGTGAGAACCCCCTTGACTGCACGCTGGCTTCACTGACTGATAGACTCGTCAGGGCCCACCATGAGCCCAAGAGTGGGATTCTGAACCCCCCACTATGGAGGAAGCTAAGGCTCAGGCAGTCGCAGTAGAGGGCCCCACCCCTGCTTGTTTCTAGAGATAATGAATAGGTAACTGGCTGAGCATGGTCGCTCACGCCTGTAATCTCGGCACTTTGGGAGGCCGAGGCGGGCAGATTACCCTAAGGTCAAGAGTTCCAGACCACACTGGCCAACATGGTGAAACCTTGTCTCTACTAAAAATAAACATTAGGCAGGCATAGTGATGAGGTCTAGTCCCAGCTATTCAGAGGCTGAGGCACAAGAATTGCTTGAACCTGGAAGGCGGAGGCTGCAGTGAGCCAAATCAGGCCACTACACTCCAGCCTGGGCCATAGTGAGACTCCGTCTCGGCAAAACAAATTGGCATGGGGATGTGGAAGAGGGCTCTGGGTTCAGCTGGGACATACGGCCTGCACTTCTGGCCTCACTGCCTGACCTACATCCCACAGACCTGGAACGCAGTGCTGCTGCGCTATTTCAACCCCACAGGTGCCCATGCCTCTGGCTGCATCGGCGAGGATCCCCAGGGCATCCCCAACAACCTCATGCCTTATGTCTCCCAGGTAATGCGGAAGGGAAGGGACAGAGGAGTGGCCCTAGGGTTACAGCTGGTGCCTGGGACCTGGGAGGAACTGACCTGATCTCCACCTCCAGGTGGCGATCGGGCGACGGGAGGCCCTGAATGTCTTTGGCAATGACTATGACACAGAGGATGGCACGGGTGAGCCAAGGACTGGGGGACCTAGGAGTGGGAGCCAGAAGGGAGAGTCAGGGGAAACAAACTCCCATGCCTGCCTCCTCTGCAGGCGTCCGGGATTACATCCATGTCGTGGATCTGGCCAAGGGCCACATTGCAGCCTTGAGGAAGCTGAAGGAGCAGTGTGGCTGCCGGGTAGGAAGAGAAGGGAGAAGTGAGGGAGGGGAGGGGGCAGATCCAGGCAGAAGGGTCCAGAACGGTGGTTAGTGCAGCACCTTCCATAAACCCTGTTCTCCCCGGGGCAGATCTACAATCTGGGCACGGGCACAGGCTATTCAGTGCTGCAGATGGTCCAAGCTATGGAGAAGGCCTCTGGGAAGAAGGTAGGCCCCCCACCCCACCTAGCTCTTAGCACCGGAGCAGCTTTGGCCCTTCCCACTTACTCTCTGGTGGGCACCTGCTACTGCCCAGTCTCCTGACCCTGCCTAGCACCCAGCACCAGGTGCCTGTGGGCAAAGCACTGCTCTGTTCTTAAAAGACCTGCTCAGCTAAGCTCCAACTACCTCCTGTCTTGCAGATCCCATACAAGGTGGTGGCACGACGGGAAGGTGATGTGGCAGCCTGTTATGCCAACCCCAGCCTGGCACACGAGGAGCTGGGGTGGACAGCAGCTTTAGGGCTGGACAGGATGTGTGAGTGCTGGCCTGACCCCTGCAGAGTTAGGGGCCAGGGAGGGGCTGATCAGCTCTAGGCACACCCACCCAGGGTGGGCTGTGAGGTTGGGGGAGGCTCTGCATTCCACCATGGGCCCTGAGCACACACCTCATGTATTGCAGGTGAAGATCTCTGGCGCTGGCAGAAGCAGAATCCTTCAGGCTTTGGTGCGCAGGCCTGAGGACCCTCCCCTACCAAGGACCAGGAAAAGAGAAGCAGCTGCCTTCTCTCCAGCCTTTGGCAGGAACCCAGGGCCCTGGAGCTGCTGGGGCCACGCCAAGGCCTCCCCTACCTCAAACCCCAGCTGGGCCCGCTCAGCCCACCAGGCATGAGGCCAAGGGCTCCACCGACCAAGAGGCTGAGGTCTCCAACTCTTATCTTCTACAGGGTCCAGGAGTTCATCAGGACCACCAAGAGCAAGTGACGGGGCAAGGCTCTGGAACAAAACCTCCCAGGCACTCATTTATACTGCTCTAAAAGAGCTTTCCAAAGTATTTAAAAATAAAAGTTTCCTTACACTGAGGCAGGTTCTCACAGATGGTCACCATCTACCCCTGGAATAGATTGAGCCAGGCCTGAGCACTGAGGAAGCAATTTCTTTAATTTTATCGGAATCCAGGACACAACAAGAAAAACACCCAAAACCACATGGAGACAGAAGACGAGACACAACTCCTCCCCCAATACCTCCCTGCTCTAGAGTTGGGACAAAGTGGGGGTGAGACAGCTTGGGGGAGAACTGAACCTCAGTCCAGCCCTGCAGGCTCCAGGCCTGCAGGGAAGGAGGGTATGGGAGGCAGGGCCCAGACCCCCAGTTGGGGGAAACAGCTGAGGGAAGGCCCCCCTCAAAAGGCTCCACCTCCTCACCAGCACTCCAGCCCAGGGACAGGGAGCCCACAGCAGCAAGGGGGCCCCAGGGCCATGGCCACATTCAGGACTGAGAAGCAGCTGGAGTGGAGGCAGGAGAGACACATGATTATCTGGGTAGGATCAGTTGGGGCAGGGGCCTGGGAGGGCCCCATGGGCCAAACCCTGAGGTCACAGGAGGGGGCCCAAAGCGGGGCTAGTGAGTGAGGTCCTGAGTGAGTGGGTCAGCGGCTGGGCCCCTTTCTCCAGCTGCCTGTAGCCCCTCCAATACTGCTGCCAGGGGGGCCCACCTCCAGGGAAATGGGATAAGAAAGCAACCTGCCCCTGCTGCAGAGAGCCAGGTGGCTGAGGCCAGGAAGGAAGGCCAGGCCAGGCCTCGCCACCTGCCCCAGAGGCCTGTGGGAAAAGGACAGGTCAGGAAGGGTAGGGACAGGGGCTCGACCGGCTCAGATCCAAGATGGTGCCACGCTTGCTTGCTGGGTCCCCCATGAGCTGGGAGACCACACTGAGGCCAGCAACTAGTTAGACAGGAGGCAGCAGCTTTTCAAGAAATTCCTTCACAGCAGCCATCTCCTGAGGGGATTAAGAGGGGATCACAAGAGGCTCCTGGCTGGAGGCAGAGAGGTGGGAGTGGGAAGTGGTTCCCCCCACTGACCTGAGGACAGGAGCTGTGCATGACACCTGGGTATGTCTTGAACTGGACCCTGGCAGGTGTGACAACAGACCGGAGCTTCTCAGCCGTCAGGGCCCCAAACCGTACAGGCACCATGGGGTCTAGCTCCCCATGGCACTGGAGGATGGCCAGGTCCTTGGCACTGCCATTAGCTGCCTGGGGTCCAGACAGGACTTAAGGCAAAGCCAGTGCTGCAGCAGTCCCCAAGCCACAAGGATGCAGACACAAAGGTAAGGGGCGAAGGGAAGTCAGTGGGGACATTCACCTGAGGGAAGGCCCGGTGTAAAGGCAGCCAGCAGCTCAACGCCACGATGCCAGCCAGAGGGTGGGGGCAGGTGAGGGCTGTGTAGAGGGACAGGGCCCCACCCTGGAGGGAGGAGAGGGAGGGGTCATGAGGGCACAGCTCATCCACCTACCACCCCTGCCCCCCACCCCTCTCCCCTCACCTGTGAAAAGCCGCCCAGGACGATTCGATTGGCAGGGATCCCATTCTTCATTTCATGCTCAATCAAGGCCTTGACTGGGGGGAGGGGGTGTGATTGTGTGGGGGGAAGTTGCCAAGGGGCCCAAGAAGGGAGCCAGGTGGAGGAACCATCCAGCGCTTTCCTGGGGGGCAGGGGAAGGAGGATGTGGAGCAGGGCCTGGGGTCTTACTGTTCTCTGCTGCCTTCTTGATGCCAGCCTCATCCTCTGGGGCATCTGGACTCAGCCCCATCAGGTCAAACCTGGGGAGTAGAGGTATTGGCAGCTATAGAAAACCCTGGCCAGCACCCTGTAGTTCCCTCAGCTCAAGTGTCCTTGTCCCCCTGCCCACCACCCACTCCCAAACTCACCAGGAGGGCATCACCATCTTCATGTTGAGGGTCACAGGGATCCTAGGCCTGGGGAGGGACAGCCAGAGGGCCCATCATACTCAGGAGGGATGAGGAAGCCACAGCCCAGAGCCGGGAGTGGGACCATGCCTCCCCTGGGGGCCCCTCCCCTGGGGGCCCCTCCCAGCAGACAGGGCCTGTGTTTAAGGTGTTGCCAGGCAACCTGCCATGTGGGGCTGGAGGCTGTGGTTGGGGCAGAGCGCCAGCGATGGAGAAGCAGGGCACAGCTCTTGGTGTGATGGGGTCCCAGGCAGTCGGTGAGTACTTGGGGAAGGGGCAAAGGGAGGTATGGGTCTAGGAGAGCTCAGGTCTAAAAGGCCCTAGGGCTGGGGGCTGGTGCTGGACCCCACTCCTGGGGGCTCCACAGGAGCTAAGGTTGAAAATGTCACTTCTGACTGCCCTGGGCCCAAGCCCCAGGATGCAGCTGACAGCAGAGAACAGGCCTGGGACAACAGGACCACCCCCACATGATCCCCAGCTTCCCTCCCTTGCTGGGGTGACACTCACGCATGGGGACAGATGTACTTCACATGAGGGAGCCGGATGGTGGAGAGGGCGTCAGCCCAGCTGTGCCTGTAGGAGGGACGGGAGAAAAGGCTCCGATGCAGTAGGAAGAGAAGGGGACGGCCGGTCGCAGTGGCTCACGCCTGTAATCCCAGCACTTTGGGAGGCTGAGGAGGGCAGATCACCTGAGGTCAGGAGTTTGAGACCAGCCTGGCCAACATGGAGAAACTCCGTCTCTACTAAAAATACAAAAAAATTAGCTGGGCATGGTGGCAGTCGCCTGTAATCCCAGCTACTTGGGAAGCTGAGGCAAGAGAATTGCTTAAACCCAGGAGTCGAGGTTGCAGTGAGCCGAGATTGTGCCATTATACTCCAGCCTGGGCAACAGAGCGGGATTCTGTCTCAAAAAAAAAAAAAAAGGGAAGGGAAGGGAAGGGAAGGGGACGTGCAGGCCTCTTGGTCCGCTGCTGGGCCCAGGCCCCCTCCCTAAGGAACACCCCTCCCCAGTCACTTACCCTGTGTCTCCAAGTCCATGTAAAAAAATGACCTGGAAAAGGATGGGACATGGGGAGACACAAAGGTTCCCCCTAGGTCCACCAACTTCTGCCCACCCCTCCCCCACCCCTAAGGACCTGGGGGGAACCCAAGTAGCAGCCAAATAGTTTACTACCCCAAGCCTCCTGACCTCAGGATACTGCCTGCTCATCACTGCCACCTCCATTTTCCCACACCCGCTCCAGCTGGTCCTCCAGCTGCCCCCAGTGGGTCTGGCCATGGATGAAAGGGGACCCTTACCGCGGCCGTTTCCCGCTCAGCTCCAGACACGGTGGCAGCATCGGTGAGCAGGGGCACAGACATGGTGTTACCACACATACACCACACGGCTCCACGAGGGGGGCCTGCACACATCGGGGATGGCGGTCAAGAGCAAAGCCAGGCATAGGACACACTCCTGGCCCAAGAGGCCACCAGGCCATCAGCCCCACACAGCACCCAGGTTCTGTCCTGGGCACAAAGAATAGTCAGGCAAGAAGTCCCAGGGCACAGGGGAAGTCTGCCTCCACTCCAGGGCTGAAAGGCAGAAGAAGCCACCGTAGCGGCCTAGAAGGTGTGTCTCTGGTTCTGGCCCAACACAGGACCTGAGTTTGCTGGAGAGAAAGAGGCAGGGCATAGGGACTGTAGGGCAGGGGGTGAGGGGAAGCAGCCACACCACTGCTTCATTCCCCCTCTAACTCCTCTGGGGTCAGTGCCTTCCCACTGCTCTCTAATCATTCCTGGGTCCCTGCCTCCCCAAATCCCGGCCCTGTAGGAAATGGAGAGAAAAATGCCAGGGAAATGAGCTTCCAGCCCCTACTCAGTGCCACCCCCCTACCCGCATCTCAACCTTCCCCCACCCAGCCCCATTCGGGTCTCCAGGCAGTTTCTTCTGGCTCATCCATTCCTAGAACCCCGGGGGGCTGCCCATGTCCCCAGAGCTCGTAAGAACTCCTGTCTGCCACCCACCCCCAAACTGGTGCTCCACACCCTCCTAAACAGAGCTACCTGCTGCTACAGAGCTACCTGCTGCTGCGGCCACTGACTGCAAACGGGCCCGGCCTGACCACGCTCTGGGACTCCCAAACACACAAAAGAATGTCAGGCTGACTGGCCCCTCCCCATCCTCAGCGTCCTCCAAACTTGCCGGAAGCTTCCACTACCTGCCTCCAAGTGCCTGTCCACCCCTCCCAACTGGCCTCACCTTCCATCTCTGACCCCTGAGGGCACCTCCCCACAATGGGATTGTTCACCTGTGATCCGGGGTTCCTCTTCCCACTGGGAATGCACCTCCCGCCCTGAGCTGTGATTCCTTTCCTTCTTCGCCAAGACTTGGACCTCCCACCAAGGCTCCCTCCTCAGAGGGGTACCTTCCCCCCGACCTGTCCCCCTCTCCACCTTGAGAACTTCCACCCCGACCCAGGATCTCCCGCTCCCCACAATGGGAACTTCTGTTCTGACCAAGGATCGCCCTACACACTGACATTTTCTACCGACCCAGGATTCACACCTGCCCACAATGGGGCTTTCTATCTTTGGGGAAGCCCCTGCCCCACAATGGGCTCTTCCACTTCCGACCCCAAAGTCTCATTATACCCAGACACCTCCTTGCCCAGCCCCGCTCCACTCCCAAAGTCCCCAAGACAGGACAGCGGCTTCGTACCTCACTCCCCACCCCCACCCTCTCCCCATCGCCGCTCCCCCTCCCCACTCTCCAGGACCCTCCAGAAGCCAACGTCCCCACATGTTCTTCTGCAGCAGCCGCCGCAGGCCGGGTACCTCCACTCCCTGGGCTTCCGAGGCCGCTTAGGCGATTCTCCTTTCTCCCGCAGACACACACTCTTCCCCCTCGGCCGCCCCCGCCGGAACTTCCGTTCGAGTCCCGGGAACCCAGCCAGCGCGCTGCCGGATGTAGCCTGGCCAACGGTACGGAACCCGGAAGCGGGGACCCGGCTTCGCTGGATAGAAAGCTGCCATATTGGAGGCGGCGGGGCCATTCCCTGTCATTCAGCCGCGCAGTCGTTGGGTTCTCACCCGCTCCCACCTTATAGAATGGAGACAGGGCACCCAAGACTCCCACTTGCTACCACCGCCCAGGTGCCTCCTGGAGAGCTGTCTGGAAGGAGGGGCATTCCTCACACTATTGTTCGCAGAAACTTTACCACCTTCTCATCCCCATGGGACATACCTCTTAAGGCCTTGGGTGTCTGCCACTGGCTTTCATGGCCCTATTCCAGGATCATGAATGGAATCACATAGTCTGAACTGAAGAGATCTTACAGATCATCTAGTTTTCCAGCCTTAAAGATGGGGAAACTGAGGCTCAAGGAAGGAAAGTAAATAGCAACCTTGGGGTTCCACTGAAATTCTGCCTCTGATCTGCTTCCTGAGCTATAAAATGGTAATAACCACCCTGTCTCCTTCACAGCTTTATTGGTAGGCTTAAATGAGGTTGTGTGAACATACTTTATACACTGTAAAGTCACAGCATGAGGTGTTAATCACACAAAACAGGACTTAGGGAAAATATACAAAGGTTGTAGCAGGAAAGCTGGACAGGCACTGGCAGTATTAGCGCTGCCCTTCACAAGCAATGCCATGCAGACAGTGCATAACGCTGCTATCAAGTGGAAGTGGAAATAGGGATCAGGGACCACAAAAAAGTCAGAGAAGAGGCAAACGTGAGTTGATGCAGCATCTCCCTGAGAATGTGTGGGGATCTGCAAGTACAAAATGAGTCACACTTGCCCCTCAGCCACTTGGGACTCATTCTCCCAGCTTAACCTATACTAGTATTTTCTTTGAACAGAAAGAAAACAGTACAAAGCTGGAAGCACAACAAAGCACTTTCCCCCAGGCCTAGAGGCAATTTGGTCCCAAGTCTGAACAGGTCAAGGAGCCTGCAACACCAGGATTCAGGGCAGGAAAACTTTCGGCCTAGGGGACCACTGCAAGCCAAGGACTCAGGACTGAATGTCAAAAGAAAAAGGGAGTAATGTCCCCACTTAGGGAAAAATGAACACTTCCTCCTGCAACCTCAATCACCTGAGACACCATGGCACTTTCAACAAATTCTTCAGAGCAAAGCTTCAAATTCAGAGGCTGGGTCCCAGGAGCTGTGATTAGTGCTTTAATTAGTGGAATTAGTGAAGGGCTAGTCTGCTCTAAGACTCATAACCTTATTTTGCCCCCTACTCCAAATTTAAACATAACCCTTCTTTTAACTCCAATAAACAATCCAACTGAAATAAAAAGGCTGTGTCTTGAGTGAATAGGACTCTTAGTGCTTTTCAAGAACGCAGTTGCATTCTAGTTGATTTGAGATTTGATTTTAGAAATTTTGAGGGCCAAGAAGGTTTGGTGGTAGCAGACTTTTCCCAGGACAGGATGGAGAAGCAGTGGCTATAACCCTCCTAACAACAGCATGGGCCAATCCCTCAGAGGAATTCTCCCAAGAGGATCAGATTCAACACTAATTCCATTTATCACCTGTTCCTGTTTTCTGCAAGGGAGAGAATTCTGACCATTTCAAATCCCCCTTTTAGATACTTATATTCTCTCCAATTGCCAAACTGACTTTCAAAATTTAAGTCCAATGTCTTTGGTCCACCTTCAGACCACATGAGCTGCTCACTTTCCTCACTCTCATTTCTTCTGATGAGCTCCAGAATCAGTTCTCCCTTATTTTTGTAAATGTCATTCTACAAATTACTTCCTTCTGTGCAAAATGAAATATAGGTTTTTTGAGACAAGGTCTCACTCTATCACCTCAGGCTGGGGTGCAGTGGCACAATCATGGCTCACAATAGCCTCGACCTCCTTGGCTCCAGTGATCCTCCCACCTCAGCCTCCCAAGTGGCTGGGACTATAGGTGCATGCCACCATGCTCAGCTAATTTTTGTGAAATACGGGTTTTCAGCCCCACCTTCCTCTTTACATGTATGGGTATGAGTGTTTTTGGCCTACTGTACAAAATTGAGCTTGACCTTTCCTGGAGACACTGATCCAGTCTTGATTTAATTGTGGCGCTTCCTATAATCTACCTAGTCCAAAACAACAACAAAAAATTTCAAAGTTCAGTACAGTTCCCCACGAAATGCAAGTTGCATCAGTATTATCATGAACTCAAAAGAAAGTACAAACATTAAGTCTGGCAAGGATTTATTAGGAAGCTTATTAGTCACAGTGAATAAAAGCCATGAAAAGAGGAACTCGGATC